TCACACATATACCTATGCGGTCACCCTGGTTGGTAATCAACAATGACGGTGATGGAGAATTCAATCAATCAATCAATCAATCAATCAATCAATCAATCAATCAATCAATCAATCAATCAATCAATCAATCAATCAATCAATCAATCAATCAATCAATCAATCAATCAATCAATCAATCAATCAATCAATCAATCAATCAATCAATCAATCAATCAATCAAAATCAATCAATCAATCAATCAATCAATCAATCAATCAATCAAAATCAATCAATCAATCAATCAATCAATCAAAATCAATCAATCAATCAATCAATCAATCAATCAATAAACCTGGATAGCCTTATTAACGTTTGATTTGAACATTTGTATGGATTTAACTTTCTTTGTGATCTTCAGTGACGATATCTCAACAGTCTGGACGGATGAATGGTTGGATGGATAGATGATTGGATAGATGGTTGGTTGAATGGATAGATGGATGAATCAGTAGATAGATGGATAGTTGAATGAAAGATCAGATCACCATCATCTTAATAGTCGTAACCATCAATTTAATCATCATCACCATCATCTCAACAATCAAAATGGATAGATGGATGGATGGATGGATGGATGGATGGATGGATGGATAGATGGATGGATGGATGGATGGATGGATAGATGGATGGATGGTTAAATCACCATCATCACCGTCATCATCACCATCACCAACATGATCACCACTTACGTCATTAACGGCAATGGATCCACTGAGCATTGTTCCCGTCATCACCGTTCCCTGACCTGGTGGTGATGTGATAATGATGATGATTATGGTGGTGATGTGATAATGATGATGATTATGGTGGTGATGTGATAATGATGATGATTATGGTGATGTTCATGTTGATGATGATGATGGTGACGATGACAATGATGATGATTATGGTGATGTTGATGATAATGATGGTGACGATGGTGATGATGATAATGATGATGATTTCGGTGATGTTGACAATGATGATAATGGTGGTGACAATGATGATAATGACAATGATGATGGTGACGATGATGATGATGGTGACGATGATGATGATGGTGACGATGATGATGATGACGATGGTGATGATGATAATAATGTTGATATTGATGATGATCAAGAAACACAAACAAACAAATAAACGAGCAAACAAACAAACATTACAGCACAAACAAACCAACAATACAAAAAACCTTTTATAAGAAAACAATGATCAATAGAAAATAATAATGGCCCAGTGGAACAGCGTGTTGGTCTGTTTGTATGTATGTGGATATATTTGTTTGCATGTTTGTTTGTTTGTTTGTATATACGTTCGTACGTTCACTTGTATATACATTCGTACGTTCGCTTGTTTTTATAACATGTCGTGAAACGAAGTCGCCATTTCTGATACTGTATGTATGCGTATATATATGTTAGTATTTATTTATCTCTTGTTGAATGTACGTATGTATGTATGTATGTATGTATGTATGTATGTATGTATGTATGTATGTATGTATGTATGTATGTATGTATGTATGTATGTATGTATGTATGTATACATACATGCATGCATGCATGCATGCATGCATGTATGTATGTATGTATGTATGTATGTATGTATGTATGTATGTATGTATGTATGTATGTATGTATGTATGTATGTATGTATGCATGCAAGTATGTATGTACAGTTTTCTATTTGTACATGTGTGTGAAGCTTGCTTATGAAGCTGATGATAGTTAAGATGATAGAAGATTAAGCTGTGATGGTTGAACTTGCCAATCATTAAAATGTCAACATTTAATAATAATAATTATTATTATTATTAATTATTATTAATATTATTATTATTATGAAAAATAATAACTGTAATAAGCTAACATGTAAGAAGTTGACTTTAATGTTTCAATGAGATCTTCAACTGATATGCTGCTACTATCACCTGACTGACTTGAATGTGTGTATGTATGCATGTATGTATGTATGCATGTATGTATGTATGTATGCATGTATGTATGTATGCAAGTATGTATGTGTGTGTATGTATGTATGTGTGTGTATGTATGTATGTGTGAATGAATTTATGTATGTATGTATGTGTGAATGAATGTTTTTGTGTGTGTCGTGTGTGTGAAGGTATCTGTGTGTATGTGTGTGTGTGGATGTTTTTATGTGCATATATATATGTACATGTTTTTATGCATTAAAACAAATGATGATAGAAGTAATTGAGATAGATATCAATCATATCAATGATAAACCAAACAAACCATGATGAAATGATAATAATAGCAATAATGATGTTTTAAAAACACACCTCAGCGCCACCAGGTTTGGCAGCTACGGGGCATATGGCACAGGTCGAAAATTTGGTCCTTTCCAAAGTTTTCCACATCTTCTTTTTCATCTGTATATGCATAAAGATTTATTGAATAAATGAGAGAGACAAAAAGATGGAGAAAGAGAGAGAAAAAGAAAGAAAGAGAGAAAGAAAAAAAGAGAAATATATAACCTTTTCGATAGTAGCATCTCTTTTATCATCAGGAATGAGATCAATTTTGTTTAGGACGACGATCATCTTCCGGCATGTAATCTCGCCAATGACGAGACACTCAGCCGTTTGGGTCTGCATGCCTTTCGTTATGTCAACCACCAACATCATCATGTCTACTATCTGGGCACCTGGAGACAGGTATGTATGTTTGAAATTAGTGAAATTCTGTTTTTTTTGTAACTCTTCGTTTTACCAACAAATAAATGTGTTATATTCTTTCATCGCTTATCTTGGCATTGAACCAAATAAAAAAAAATTTATAACATGTTTGCTTATCACATTTGTTCTGGCATATAGGCATATCCATATGCATTATATAATACAATATGGTCTTATAAAAACTGCTTAAAAGTGAAGAAATAATACTTAATAGAGTTAATATTTGAAAAGTATTATATTGAAAATGTCTACCGCCAATAATAGTTTTGATGAGTGAAGCATGCCCAGGACAATCAACCAGAGTGAATTGCAACTTTTCGTAACCAGCTTCAACAACATGACTGGGGGCATCAACGGCAAACGACGAAAACCCAAGATCCAATGTAATGCCTCTTTCCTTGCTCTGCGGATTTTTGTCGAAACAGGCGGTGCTCGCCACGGTGCTCAGAGCTTTAGCCAGGCTGGTTTTGCCGCTGTCAACGTGACCAAGCACACCGACGTTGAAGTTTAGTGTTTTCGCCGGAGTGGTGGACATTTTTAAAGTTGGAAAGATTTGAAAAATATGATTTCACAAAAATGATTATTGCGCTATTTTATTAAAATTATTAACCATAAAAATGTGTAAAACTTAATTAAAAAGATAATGACTCAGATATCAAAGGTTTGTTGTTTAAAAAATTTAAAAGTGAACTTGAGAGAATGATATTAAATTAAAAGTTAATTGATGTTTTAATTCCATAAACTAGGAACACAGAAGGCAGAGTTATGACTTGTTCAAGCAGTATTGCTCAATATTAGGCCTAATAGGTATCTATGTCATACAATGATGTTTATATCTTTACAATTTTTAAACTATCCATTTTTTGTTCTTTCTTAGAGAAACTATTTACATGGAATGGAATTATATTATAGGAATCGATCGAGCACAAGCAATTGAATTTACCGTTAACGTGAAAGCTTTTAGACTTGCAGTCATCTGCTGTTCGATGACGTAATAAATGTGACGTCAATGCCACCCATGCTTTCGGGTAATGATAATGACAAATGTAACCAAAATTATGTATATACACACGCATGTGTTTGTTTGTATCGATATGTTGATCAAATACAATGTATTATAACATAGATTAAAAAAGGTTGAAGGTCAATCACACTCTTCCGGAGTTCAGAAAAATCAACAATCCACAAACAGCGTATATGAATACGTGCTAAACGATGCTGCACACAAAATGCATGTGATAAACGGGTATCTGTTTGCCGTATTCGAACCCGGTTACGTCGTAACTGGCCTAGGCAACCTAACCGCTAGGTCATTAATCCGTTGAATATAACGTAAACTGAAAATAATTAAATTATGTTAGGTATATATACATAATAAAATACCAAAATTTTTAAAGTGTTATTAAGTTCTTTGCTAGAAAGCACCTGTTCTCCAAATGTATTATTACATGTCTTCGACTGGTTGCTAGGCAATGCACCATGTAAACTATTCATTTGCAAATGATTTTATCTAAATTTTGCTTAAAAATGTGACTATAATTAGAAATAAATTATTGGACTAGTTATTATTTAGTTATTTGTTGTTATCATTTTATTGAATATATTATTTAAAAGTAGGATAAACAGTTTAGCTTTAACTGATTTTAATTTTAACACCTTGATCTGATGGTTCTTGCGCTTGTCTCGAGAGATATTCATTACATTGCGAACGATTACATTGCAGTTTTTCGTAATAAAATATGAATAAATTTTTATATTTTAGATAACATCTAACTACCTATCTACGTTAAGTGAATTTGAACGTTTCAAAAAACTTCAAATTTTAAAGGTTGGAAGACTCAAAACTCAAACCTGCAAAAAATTTCTGTACAAAATTTATTTCAAATACTTGAAACTAAATAACCCAAAAATTAAAAAAAAAACAATTCGTCACAGACAGAATATCATTTAGAATTATAAAATATGACAAACTTATAACAAAAGACTAAAACAACAGTTATAACCACCAACCTAACCATACTAATAAACAACGACTGCAACGGTCATAAACATTTCACCATCACCAACAACAACATACAAACCATGAATCCTTCCCAACACCAGCCAGCAACAATCGTAGAAGACATGAACAACAAAAATAGAAAAACTAGTGTCGACATCATCAGAGAGGTCAAAACTCTCCTTAATTACGAGGGTCTCAAGGCAGTTTCCACGACGAAACGACCCGAAACACCTCTTGAGGAGAATAGAAAATTATTATTAAGAAAGTGTAGCGCTAATGAGTTGATGACTACTGCTTCCGCTAGTGGCGCGACTAATAGCGGCGATAATTTTGAATTCAATTTTGAGTCCAGACCGTCGTCTGCGGCCATTAGATTGGCGCCTCTCAATATTGATAAGGTGTGGTCGTCATCACATTCATCACATCATCTTATCATTTTATTATCGTATCATCACAACATCGTCATCATCACCGCCATCACATCATCATCATCACATCGTCATTATCACCATTCACCTTCCAGACGAGATCATTATCGGCGGGAAAGCCGAAAAGCGCCACTCTGAGCAAATCTCGTCTGAAACAGCCACATCAGAAAAATATTTCAGCTCTGAAACCGCTCGAAGCTTTCCATAACTTACCGGCTAATGCTAATGAAATCAATATTAGCAATAATCATAGTGAGTTGTTATCATTTTTTTATCTTCAAGTTATTTGTAATAGTAGTAGTAGTAGTAGTAGTAGTAGCAGCTGCAGTAGTTGCAGTAGTAATGGTAGTAGCAGTAGTAGTAGCAGTAGTAGTAATGTTTGTAGTATTAGTAGTGGTAGTCGTATTATTACTTTTACGCTGTTATTATTATTCTTGTTGATTATTTTTTCTTTAAGGATGAAAAATCGGCTTAATGCAAATTGAATTGATTATAATTAATTAATTAGTTAATTATTAAATTAAATTAAATAATTATTTTTTATTGAATATGTCGATTTATTTACATTGCTACTTGTATTTTAATCTGGTTTTAGACCTGATCACAGTACTTCTTTACTCAAAATACATAACAATATCCTTCTCTCTAGTGACAATAGTAATCTTACTCTATTTTTTGCTCTTGACTTTTCATCTACGTTGAATAAAAATCTTTTTCCCTTTCTTGACGATCCTACTCTTCTTCTTCTTCTTACTTCTTTAGTTTTATCTAGGATTGATTATTATAACTCGCTATACTATGGTCTTTCTGATTCTAAGCTCTATCTTTCAAGTAAAGCTTTTAACTCCGCTGCTGGTCTAGTTGTTCGTGCCCCTTTCTTTTCTCATATATTTTCATATCTTGTTCTCTTGCACTGGCTACCTGTAAAATATAGAAAAAAAATTTAAATTTGCACGTTAATGTTTAAGTCTCAATTTAAATTATTTCTTAAGTACTTATCAGATATTTTAATTGAACCTAAAAACCCCGGTTTACGATCGTCTTCATGTTTTTACTTTTTTTTAACTCGTGTTAAACACTCTTTTGCTAAATCTGCATTTGCTTTTTCTGGCCCTTTTCTCTGGAACTCTCTACCTCCTTTTCTGACTACTTCTCCCAACTAACGAAGTTCAGACCCATCTGTTTGCAAAATTCATTGAGGAGCGCTGTTGAACATTGCGGAAACAGTTTATTATAATCTAATTGATTGATTGATTGATTAATTGTACATATTTGAAATTTATTCAGAAAAATTGAAGAAAAATTCGTCGATTGTTGACTTGAATGAAATGAATTTTGTACTGGAGGGCAGAAAATGCGAAAGGCAATTATTTAACTTTTCATTCATTTATTTATTTACGATCGTCATATTTATAATAATAATATTAATTATTATCATTATTATTTAATTAATAATTATTATTTATAGTTATCATTATCATAGGTAGACTTTCTGGATGAAATATATTCATAAATATCTAAAAGTATAATTATCATTATATTATTATTATTATTATATTTTTTTTACAAATAAATAAATAAATAAATATATATATATATATATATTTAATTTAGAAATCAGGCATCATCGTCAACACCGTCCTCTGCATCGTCATCATCATCATCTGCCAACAAACCAAAGAGGAATAAAGTTGATCAGATTAATGAAAAGTATTTGAGACATTTTTACGAAAAACAAATTGAACAACAACAGCAACAACAACATTTTCAACATCAACAACAACAACGACAACAACATCAACAGCAACCACAACATCAACATCCTCTTCCAATAGACATCAAAATCCCTACTATACCTCTACCACCACCACAACCACTGACAGCAACATTGTCGTCATCATTATCATCAACGCCACAATCATCATCGAGATCAACAACATCTCAACAACAACAACGACGACAAACAAATAGTGATAATAATTCTAAACTAAGTAAAACCAATAACAAAAAGAATAATAACAATAATAAAAACGGTGATAATAATGATACTGATAAAATGAGTAAGAAGAAGAAGAAACTATATAGTAAGAATGAGGATTTTGACGATGATGAAGGCGATGATGAGATATTGGCCTTCGTTGAAAGTATTAAAACCTCGCAAAAGAGTGAGTTGTGAATGATTGATTGAGTGGATGAATGAATGAATGAATTAATTAATGAATGAATGAATGAATGAATGAAGAAATGAATTATTGAATGGATGAATGAATGAACGAGCCAATAAACAAATAAACGACGAACGAATGAATTGAAAAATTAAAGTGGGATTGTATGACAGAACGAAAAAATACATATTATAATCGATTTAATTAGTTTAATTTAATTCAATCGATCACTTAATTCATCAAACATTTTTATAGATAAAAATAAATGATTTTTATTTATAGAAAGCGCCATATCTGAAGTAACAACAAAGACCAGACAACTTTTTCAATTGCTGAAGAAACAAAATAAATTAGGTCATCATCATCATCATCACTACCACTATCACCATATCATCATCATCATCACCATCATCATTATCACCATCACCATCTTCATCACCATCATCGTCATCATCATCTTTATAATCCCAATCATCATCCGATCCGGTTTAATGTGATTTTTGAGAGGCGGATTTAAACTGAATAATGGAAAAATAAAATCATTGAATATCAACGTGAGTATTATTTTTATAAGAAAATCCATAGACAACAGAATATAAGTTTATCTTATTCATGTTAAAGACGCATCACCAACTTATTAAGTTTTTCATAAATATAGTATCAGACACGTTCTTCTTGCTTCTAACTTACAAAAGTATTTCCAACTATTAATCGAAAAAGCTTTTTCCTGCGCCAGTAGCTGTGATTGCTAATGTTGAAAGCTTCGAAATTGCAAAGAAAGAGTTTTGGTTATTTCAACTTTAGATCGATACACATTTTTACAAAATTTTTTATTTCAAAACATTTCATAATCTGTAATAGTCTGTAATTCTATCTTTCATCTTTGCAGCTTTCATTTCATACTTTTCATGTAATCTAGTTTGCAATCGGATGTAAACGCTGATTCTATCTTTTTTTTGCATTGCTTCAGTAATAATTGTCATTTTTTGTAACAGCTGTGTTATCCAGAGACCAAAATTAGTCGCTACATTCGAATGATTGGGTGAATGTTTTGTTTGTTGCTTGAATTGTTACGTCGCATAGGTATCTTGTGAAATAAACTTTTGTCTGTATTCTACCCAGGTTGATGTTTTTTTAAAGCAGTCAGGATTATTCAGTTCAACTGCCATTTTTTGGATATCTCAATTATCCGTGATGATTGCATTAAAAAGATTTTGTGCCATTTTCATTCAAACCTGAATTAGCTGCCTTCAGAATTTTGCATTTATCTAATTTAAAATTTGAAATGAAGTAAGCAAACACCATGGAACGATTGAACTTTAAATTTAAAAGAAGTTATTCTCCTTTTCTTAGCTCACGATTTGTTTAGCTGTTAATAATTCGTTATCTTTAGCTAGAACAATTAATGTATCGTAAAATTCATCAGTCTGATACGAAAGAGTTTTTCCAATGAGTGCTTCTTGAAGGATTTACACTGGAATCACTTAAATGGAATGACAATAATTCTTCTCTTTTCCAGTCAGAAGACAGTTCTGATGTGGAATATTAGTAACTTTAATTTTAGGCCAAAAACAACATAACGAAGTTAATAGTAAACGTTTTAGATTATGCCGCACCTGAATGAATAAGCACTGTTTAAAACCGGGCCTCATCACCATCATCATCGTCATCATCATCATCATCATCATCATTTTGTCACCATCATCATCATCATCATCATTTTTTTTTTCATAGGAAAACATTGGAAGAAAAGGAATAAACTGTTGAAGTTTATTTGCAGTTTGATAAGCAACAACAATAACAATAATAATAATCATAATCATAATAATAATAACGATAAGATGGTTAATGATTTAACTCGTTTGGATGTGATCGTCTGTAAGATTATGCTTGCTGTAAGTGCCTCATCATCATCGTAGTCACCATCATTATCATCATCATTATCATCGTCACCATTATCATCACCATCATTATCATCATCATTATCATCTTTGACTCAATATACTTACATCATCGATATATTGATCAACGCCACAATCATTATCATCATATCACTTAACCATCATCATCATCAATTCATTGTCATCATCATCACCATCATTTCATCATCATCATCATCATCCTATCTTTTTATCATCATCATCATCATCAACATCATCATCATCATCATCAGTTACACATAAGCGGTGGAAACTTGTTAAATGTGACTAAACTGCTAATGAGGTTAGTGGAAGATGACGCTGGCGATGACGTCATCATGCAGGAAGGTGTAGTCGGTTGGTCGTGATGATGATGATGATGATGAAAAAAAAGAAGAAAATGATGATGATAATAATTAACGATGATGATGACAATGGTGATGGTGACGAAAACGATGATGATGACGATGATGATGACGATGATAGTGATGGTGATGATACGATTTTTTTTAAAATTAATTTTGGCAGCTGTCCTGATGGAAGTCTTGTACATCCATACGACCACCTACCTCTCTTCTTCATCGTTATCACTATCATCATCACTATCATCATCATCAACAGCAGCAGCAGCAGCGGCGGCAAAGGCATCATCATCATCAACACCATTATCACCATCATCATCATCATCATCGACACCAGCACTATCTGAAGAATGTTTCGACGCTCTTATCAACATCGTCATCATCTTCAAGATGTTATCATTCAGCCAGCAGAATGTTAAGACGATGATAAAGATGAAATGCCGCAATGATGATGATGGTGGTAATGATGATGGTGGTGGTGATGGTAAGGATGGTAATGATGATGATGGTGATAACAGAAGTGGAAGTCGCCATTTTGTTTCTGTGGTTATGTCCCTTTACAAGTTCAGTGATATATTGGTTAGTTGAAGCATTCATCCATTGATCCACTCAATCATTCATTCATTCATTCATTCATCAATCATTCATTCATTTATCCCTTTATTCGTTCATCATTCATTCATTCTTTCCTTTATTCATCATTCATTCATCCATTCACTCATTTACTCAACTCTTCAATCATTCAGTGGAGGAACAAAACAAACCACGAAAGCAGACACCTGAAATGGATGGTCCAGGTTAGCGAACTTTGACCTTCGCCAAGGTCATTTTTACAATTTTCCACAAACACGTAAAGATAAACACACAATGACAATCAGACACACACACACACACAAAGACACACAGACAAAATAAATCACACAGAGACCAAAACATTCACACACGCATACAGACAAAAAAAACACACACTCTCACACACACATACACACACAGAGAATAACTCACGCACACACAGACAAACATTTACATACACACCCATGCACATATACACACGCACAAAAAATGTGCCGTCATAGCAAACTGTCATAACTCACACAGACAAACACACATATACACACAATAACACACACACACAAAAAAACCCACTTACACACACACACAAAACAACCCACTCACACACACATACACATAACTCACACAGACAAAACACGTATACACAGACAAACACACATATACACACAATAACTCACACACACACACACAAAACAACCCACTCACACACACGCACACACACAGACAACAGCCCTAACGAGGCACCTGTTAGAAGTGGCCGCGACACACGCCACCTTCCTGCAGATGGACCTCATCAACCACCTCTTCCACACCATGGTCGTGTCAGGGTACGACGGTGACGTCGTTATGAATGTTGCTAGGATACTCAGGTAGGTAGGGTGGGGTGGGGTGCAATCTTGAAGGTTTTGGGGGCTTGGGGTTTTTTTTTGGGGGGGGAGGATTAAAGAGATTATTGGATATTTTTGAGATGTTGGATTTAAATTCTGACTTAAAAATTATCATATTTTTTATATAAAAATTTATTGCGGTTTGGATGTTTTGGGATTAGCTTTTGTATTTTATATTTTGATTCGATTATTATTAAATACATCGCCACCACCCTCATCATCATCATTACCATCATTACCATCATCAATATCATCATTACCATCATCAACATCATCATCATCATCTTCAACATCAACATCATCATCAACATCGTCAACAACATCGTCATTACCGTCACCAGTAAGATGACCTTACAGGCAGAATGTTGCATGGAGGTTTGCAGCAACAAGTTGTTTGTGACGAGTTTTCTGGAAGTGTTCAAGAGATTTGTTGACAATGAGGTGATGAATACGACGACGATGATGACGATGATGATGACAATGATGATACATTCAATCATTTTTTTACTTTTTTTACTCATTCACTTACTGTCTGGTTCACACGTTATGGTTTATTTAATAAATCATTTATTCATTTTTCCACTCACTCACTCATTCACTCACTTACACACTCTTTCACTCACTCACTCTCTCACTTACTCACTTCCAGGACATAATAGTCAGAATCGCGTTCACAATGGGCAACATGTTTTCCAAGCACGATCACTCAAGACTGCACTTCATCCAGCTGGATGCCGGCTTGGAAACCCTACTCAACCTCCTCAGTCACTACGTCAGAGTGCTCTTGCTTTCTGGCAGTCAGGTAGGTATCTGGATTTATCTTTCTTTCCTTCCTCGCTTTCTCTTTTTTCGATCAATCTCTGTCTTTCTTAGTTTTATTTCTTGATTTATGTTTCTCCTTTTCTTATATCATATTTTTGTGTTCTCTGATCTGATTTCATTGTTATTTATTCACTTGCTCTCTCTGTTTTTTTTATGTTTTTCATTTTTTTATATCATATTTTTTTGTTCTCTGACTACATTTTTAATTTTTTTTTCTCTCTCTCTCTCTTTCTCTCTCTCTCTTTCTCTCTAGGTTTCCCTTTTGTTCTCTTTTTTTTCATCTCTCTCTTTTTCTCTTTCTTTCTTTTCATCTCTCGCTCTCTCTCTCCCTCTGTATTTTTGAGATAAATATTTATTATAATTTATTATACATTTCAAGTTGGGATTGGAGAAAAGATCGAAAGTGGAGGACGTGTTGATAAAAGTGCTGAGGCTGACGGCCAACATGACCCTTAATGAAGATGTCGGCTATGTGATGGTTCAGTCGCACAAGTTCATCAAGTTACTGTCCGCTTTGTTAGGTTGGGTTTGTTTGTTTGTATGTTTGCATGTATGTATATATGTATGTATGTTTGTTTGTTTTTATGTTTTTATGTTTGTATGTATGTATGTATGTATGTATGTATGTATGTATGTATGTATGTATGTGTGTATGTATATCTATTTATATGTATGTGTAAGTATGTTTCAGTATGTTTTTATCTGTGCATGTTTATGAGTGTGTTTTTGCTTTTAATATGTTGAATATGCCCTCTCATGAACTTAACATGTTAACCATCAAGAGTTTCATTGCATGGATGAACGAAATTATATTTTCACTTCACTTAGGGGATTTCATATTTATCTAATTAACCATAGAGATGAATAATTTTATGTTTGTTGTCGTAAATCGGCAACAATGTCTTTTTTTAAGACTACGAAATGTTGCAGCAGAACGAAGAATTGATCAACAACTTGATGTCACTCCTTATTAATTTATCTTATTACAACAACAACAATGACAACATCAACAACAAAAACAACATCAACAACAACATCAACAACAACAGCAATAACAACAACAACATTAAAAGACCCAATTACAAAACTAGCAACATAAACAATCAAAATAAACATGCAGATACACTGACTAAAGATAGCGTTAATAGTAATAGTAATAATAATATTAATAATTATAACAATAATAATGATAATAATAGCAATAATAATGACGTCGATAATGAATGCGGCAATGCGTTGATCAGACACCAGGAAAAGATTATTTCTCGTTAGTAAGCGCTACACAATTTTACTTCTTTCGTGATTAATAGCTAGATCAGAATATTCAAATAACCTAAAATTCAATGAATTTTTAGTTAATTAATTAATTTAATTATTCGTATTTATAATAAAATGGTTAATTTTAAGTTTATTTATGAGTTAATTATTTGTTTAGTAAATTAAACTTATTCAAGAATTGACCAGGTATATGAAAATCAACAATAACGCAAACAACAACAACAACAACGACGATGATGACGATTTTCCGCCATGCTTGTCGGAAATAATTAGGATCTTTGGTAACTTATCCCGGAAGGAAGAAGCTAGGAAATTTCTTGTCAAACAAAATGGTGGATTATATTTAATTTCATTTTTTCGTACTATTAGAGTTGCAATAACAGTAGTAGTAGTAGTAGTAGTAGTAGTAGTAGTAGTAGTAGTAGTAGTAGTAGTAGTAGTAGCAGCAGCAGCAGCAGTAGTAGTAGCTGTGTTCTTAATAATATTATTATATATATCATTATTATATTAATAATAATAATTGTTATTATCAATGTTATTTTAAATGATTGGACACACTCACGCATACACACACACAAACAAACTTACGCACACACACTTAACACACGCGCGCGCACATAAAACACACAGTTGACCTGATGATAGCCAGTTACTTGGACTCGGACGATAACGAGGTAGTCTTTTCAAGCTGTGGTACTCTCATCAACTTCATGATCGATCCTAAGAACAGACGGAGATTTAGAAATTTGGCCGGAGTTGAAAAGTGAATCTTAATAAGAATAAAAACATGATTATTAAAACTATCATTAATGTTATTATATTGTTACATGTTGGTTTCATCGTTGTATCGCTCTTTAATCATCACCACCCCTTGTCACGTCTCACGTCTTCATCGGCAGCATCATCTCGTCCATACTTACACTACCATCATCATCATTTTCATCATCGTCACAATCCTACACACGCACACACACGCACACGCGCACACACACACGCAGAATAATTGGAGTCATTGAAACATTCAGTCAAAATGATTGGCAGCTCGTTGGAATGGCATGTCAGATTCTATCAAACTACTCACTCACTGATGATTATGATAATGATAACGCTGATGATGATGATGAAGATGGGGGTCATGGTGATGATCGTGAGGATGGAAAGAAGAGGTTTTTCACCAAATCCGAGATCCATAAGCTAATGACGCTACTTCAAACGTTTTTAGGTTTGTAGGAATCAAGTTTTTATGGGTTTTTTTGGAATTTTTCAACTTATAATTTTGTATTTGTTTAAATTAAATGTTTATTTTTATCTTTTGGATTATCGAAAAATGACAAAAAGTCTACTATTTGCCGATAAATAATTTACTCTATTGCAAAAAATGTTAACAAAATTTGAGCTGTAAAGTACTAATTGAGAATAAATAAACATACTAAATGATAATACAAACAAAAAAAAACATGGCAGACGATAAAAATTACGTGACGTCAGAAATGTCGCCGGAAGTAGAGATGGCATCGTACGTCGTTGAATTTAAAAAAGTCTATTTTGACCCGGTGGCCACTGAACTTTTGGAAAAACTGAAAAAACTATCCGCTGATATTTTAAATTAATTAGTTTTTTCTCCTTTTCTTAAATTTTAAAATAATTTTAAATCAATTTTTAAATATTTTATCGACAATTTATTGATGATTCATTTATATTTTTCATCAAATTTTCAATTAAATAATTTATAAATTATTTTGTAAGTTTTTTTAAAAATAAACATTTGATCCAATAATCTATAATCTACTTGCCGTATTTTTCATGTGATTTTAAAATTAGACTAGAATAGCGATTGTGATTATGGTTATTATTATTATTGTTGTTAATTATTTTTATTTTTATTACCAATTATTATCTGTGTAGCTGAATTGCAAGCGTAATTTCACATTAAAAATATAATTAATAATATGATAATAATAACTATAACCTATGCTGATTTTTTTATTTCAATTTGTAAATTAAATTGATCAATTGATTGCATTAGAGTTTCTCGTTTCAAATAAAAAAACAAGGAAGCACTGAACGGTCCTAAAAAAAATATCACGAATACGATGCAACATCCCTGCAACCGCCTGGCATCCCAATGTAGAAGCGTCCGGTCAAAATTTTGTATTGAATGCTTTCATACAGACCTCACTAACAACAACCACCGATACAAAAATACAAACAAGCAACATTGAAATATCAATTTTATTATTTCCATCGATAGATAAAAAATGTTGGATGTGTCGACGGTAGCTAAACCTCTAAATCTGCCACAGGGTAAGTAGGCATTAGACATGTCTTAATGTTAATAGGGCGGGATAATTCTGATTTATTTTCTGAAGAGATTTTCATTTGTTGACGCATATTTGCCCCCCTTCTCGTGTTGTCCCTTTTGAACCGGGAAAGGCAAGTAAGTGCCGCCCTGGATGACTTCTACAATTAAAAGGTTAAAGATCATTCTCTCTTTTGCACTAGAGGTACTAACGACAAACACACACAGCGTATACGAATACGTATACGAAAAGACACGCAACGCATTGCATATGACACATGCTTTGCGCATTTCGATGATGTTTTAATTTCTAGGAGTCCAACTACCTTTTTAATACATTAGACCGTTTTTTCCAAGTTATCCGATTTTTTGAGGATTTTTCTGTATAATTTTTTAATAATATTCGTGTCTGACATGTTGGTAATATTTAGAAATACGTCGGTAATTTGTTTAATGATGTTTTATCCGGTGGCTACTGTTGTGAAACATAACATTTCCCGTAAGATTAACTCCTTCTTTCTACGAGGATTTTAAATCTTTGATTGATGGTTAGAACGATATCTAATCCAAATCCTTCCAATCATGAAAATTATTTTTTCCTTCAACAACCCCGCTTTAACATCCTTTCAAGGAAAATATCATTAATAATCATTTGAAACATCAATTAAAAATTTCAAAATCATCGTTGTATTATAATTAGAGAGAAGGTTCCAGAAAATTATAATTTTATTTATTCTTATTGCTATTATTAAATTAATAAAATTATTGTTGAAACAAAAGGCATAAATCATACTTTATTATATTTTTATTACAATGAGAATAATAATTTTAAGGGAAGACAAAACAAGTATGGACAATGGAATGGATTATATAGATTTGAAATACGAACGAACGATTGAATGTATGTATGAAAAAATGATTGTAAAATTGTAAAAAAAAGAGATTAAATAAATAAAACATTCGAATGCGGAAAATGCCACAATGATTACCATCGTGACATCATAATCAGCACCATTTTCATCATCATCACCATCTCCATCATCATCATTCTCTTCCTCATCATCGTCATCACCACTATCATCACCACTATCATCACCACTATCATCACCAATATCATCACCACTATCATCACCACTATCATCACCACTATCATCACCACTATCATCACCATTATCATCACCACTATCATCACCACTATCATCACCACTATCATCACCACTATCATCACCACTATCGTCATCATCATTTCGTCCTCACCAAACGTCACAAAACATCATCACCAGCTCCCTGCCGATGGTGATGATGATGAACGATCATGGTGAGTAACTCATCAGATGATGGCCTTTCAACTGGATCCACCTTCATCATCATCATCATCACGTTCATCAGTGAGACTGAATACCTGGTAAAATTAGTAATAATAATAATGATAATAAAAAAAGAAAAAGAAGAAGAAGAGGAGGAAGAAGAAGAGAAAGAAAAAAAAGAAGACGAAAAATAAGAATAATCGTCATCATCATCATCATCATCGCCACCACCACCATCATCGTCGTCCAAACACTCACTGATTATCCTCCGGAATTTTGATATTGCCTGCCATGGCGGCCAACGCTATGCTATCTCCTGTCGTGGTAGTGGTGATGAGAGGTCAAAGGTTAAAGGTCAATTACAATCTCCCTAGACTCGAAGGAATCAAGGACATGCAAATATCGCATACGAATGCACGCAACAGCAGTCTTCACAGTCTTCAACATCTTTTCAACTGCCCCAACAACCCTTCAGCACATCAACCAATTCATCTTTCGACAAAACCAACAGAAGTTTCTGCTAGGCTAATAACAACAACAACAACAACAATCTTCGAGTAACAATCGGCTGAATATTGGCAACAACAACAACAAAAAAAACAACAACAACAATACGTGGTAAACGAAGCATCATACACGAAGCATGTGATAGGCGAAGATCATTTTGTCACATGCGAATCGAACCCGGTTACTGCACTGAAACAATACCGGGCGACCTTAACCACTAGGCCATCCCGCCACACATGATGATGATGATGACGTGACGATGCGAGAAATGTGACGGTGATGTTCATGACTATAATGTGATAATGATGATGATGCAACAACGAAGAAGACCGTACCACTGTTATTGATGATAAATATGATGACGACGACGATGATAACGAAGATGATAATGGTAATGATTATGATGATGATGTAGATGGTAATGATTATGATGATGATGATGATGGTTGTTTACCTCGTTGTTGGACTCTTTCGAATGGTGACTCATGAAAGCACATGGAGTATAATGTACAGCCTAAGGACTGGTAATATTGAATTCTATCATCATCATTATCAGTATCATCATCATCATCATCATTCTTATCATCGTCATCATCAAAACCTTGCTATTCTTCATCATCATAATCATAATAATAATTATCATTGTACAGCCAGCAACTAACCAGCCAGCCAGCCAGCTAGCCAGCCAGCCAAGCAACCAGTCAACAGACCAACCAACCAACCAGCCAACAGATCAACCAGCTAACAGACCAACCAACCCATATATCAATCTTTCCAGCCAGCTAGCCAGCCAGCCAAGCAACCAGCCAACAGACCATCCAACCAACCAGCCAACAGACCAACCAGCTAACAGACCAACCAACCCATATATCAATCTTTCCAGCCAGCTAGCCAGCCAGCCAGCCAAGCAACCAGCCAACAGACCAACCAACCAACCAGCCAACAGACCAACCAGCTAACAGACCAACCAACCCATATATCAATCTTTTCATCGACGATTGACGAAGGTTCAACTTGAAATAGTTCAGGAGCCCTATACGGCATGGTACATTTCTCAGACGCCAACTCCTGTAATGGTGTGTTTGTTTCTTGCTATGCTGCTGCTGTTTATGTTATTGTCTATTCATCGTCATCATCAAAGCCATCACCATAATCATCATCCATCCTCACCATCAACGTCATCGCCATCATCGTCATCATCATCCTAACCACCTGTAACTTTCTGGCGTCAGACGAATTTTTAATCTCACACCTGGCAGGTCCCATCGACCCGAAATCAACCAGAACAGGAATTTCTACGTGCGACGTCATGCGAGATGACGACGGATCATCTTCTGTGACGTCATCGTTGAGGTTGTGGTTGATGTTTAGATTGTTGTTGTTGATTTCGTAGTGCAGCATGACATTGTGCGGCTTGATGTCTCTGCATTTGCATGATGAACTGTGAGACACACTCAAGATACAATACAAAACGAACAGGTGCACATACACACGCACAAACACACACAATTACACAAACACACACACAGACCTATGTGCCAGGGCAAGTGGTTTAAGTGTGTGTAGGTAGTTTAGTGCCCTACATATGCCGGTGAGTAAGTGAATAATTCTCTTTTCATTCATTCTCAGATGTTTTTCCTTCAGTCTGTCTAACTCATCCATTAATGAGCCCCTCTGAATAACATGATGATGAGGATAATATGATGATGAGAATAATGATAATGGCGTGCTTGGTGATAGTCATATTAAGAGCACAAAAATGATTTTGACATGACAAAAAACATCAATATCAATGATCAATTGAAATCATTCTTCAAAAATTAAAAAAAATAAACAATTCCCAAACTACTTTATAGTAAGGCATAACAATCAGCACATCACTGGTGGCCATGTTGTCATCTGAGTTACCTCGAGAAATGACAGAATGAACTTCACATGGAGCCAAATTAGGGTGTTTGAGTTTGAGCATGTAGGAAACTTCATCAAGAGCTTGTTGTTCATCTGCTCTCGAGTGGCATGTAATTTTTTTCAGTGCAAAAAATCTTTTTGTGTGCTTGTCTTCAACTAAGTCAATCACTGCAAAACCACTATTTTGAGGGAATTTATTTAAACAAATTTTGACTACTATAGCAACATCTTTATGCATTAAAATATCAAACACCCCTGACTGATGTGAATTTACACATTAAGTATGATTAAAAAATTTGAATGATTGATTTTTAATTTCTTAAAAAGAGATCAGCAATAACAATAATAATATATAAAATAAATTAATTAATTAACTAATTAACAAATTATATGAAATTAAAAAAAAGTATAGAAATGAATGAAACAAATCAACCGCTGATAATAACCCTTCCCCAAGCCGACCCCTAACTACAAATTTCCTATTTTCAACATACACAGATTCAGAGCTGCACAAACAGCTGAGGTTTCTGAACAAGCTCCACAAACTCATCATTTCTTTCAAACTTTAAAAGTTTTTCGGTTTAAATATTAATATATAATTTGGTAAAAAAGACATAACTAAAAAATAAATTTAAATTTGAATAAATTAACTATAAGTGGAATAAAAATAAGGTTAGGAATTATGATCATTTTAGAAACTTTAAGCAACACATTAAAGTTAACTTCACTTTTAAGCAGTTCGCATTTCGCATTCTACATTTTCTAAGGTGTATACTTCCTATGCGCTTTCTAGACATTATTTTCCTAATCAAATTGAATTTAAACTTTAAAATATAAAACTTATATTAAATAAGAATAACAATTTATAATTTTTTAAAAATACTAAATACAAAGATCACTGGAATATATGTAAATCATGACAAAAATAAAAAATTGGTGCAGAGGTCGCTAAAAAGCAAAAATATTCAAGCAAGTACTGACGGCTCATCTCTGATATTTCGTGAATAATAATTTCGTTCTAGCGTTGGATTACTCATTTCTAGGTTAGACATGTCGCGAGTAGGATTAAATTTTTCCATTTTTCTCTTAATTTATTCAATTTTTCCTAATTTGAAAAAATTTAATTTAGTCCTAATAATGTCGCGATTGCATTCGCTATAGTATTTTTCCGTGTTCCAGCCTGCTTCTCTATATTTCTTTTGTTCTTCGTTTCGTGATCTGCGGATTCACCATTTTGCTTTTTTTTTGTCAAAATTACAGTTTTGAATTTATGTTGAAATTGAATTTTTCATTTATTTTTCTATAAATGTCATTTCATGATTTTGTTCTGTACAAAATGGCTCTTTTCGAATTTTTAATTTCAATCTTATCTACTCATTGATAATTATTACTACTAATTTCTTTTGTTTTGTACTTTTGTCTCTTAAATTCTTAAAATCTTAAAAACCTTTATTCAAAATTTTGTACTAGTCAGAGTGCACTGTAGGTCTTAATTTAAAATTATATTAAAATTAAACTTTAAAGGAATATATTATTATTGAAAAATTACTATTTTCTCAATAGATCATTTGATCAAACATTTATTTATTGTTTATTTTATTCGTTTTAAAAAATCAATATAATGTAAAATAGATTATTTTTGTTTTACAAAATAAATAAGGTAAACATATAGTGTATACATGACTGCATAGTGAGTTAAGAAATTAATCAGCACAACTAACTCTGTTGCCAAAAGTTAATGCTCGACATTGCAATGTCTATTGTCTACCATAATTTTAGCGTTTTCTTTTTGTCAAAGTTGCTATTAGTGATTATATTATTGGTGCTTAGATTTGATTTCACATTTAGTTTTTTTTGTTATTCCAGTACTGAGTAGTACTGAGTTTAATAAAATAAGCTTAAAATTAAAATAATAATAATAAAGATAAATAAAAATAAAGTTTTTCTGAACTCAAATGCAACTAGCTAATAAAAATTTTTATTGTCAGAAGTTGGATCACCTATTTATGGAATTAAATTATTATTTTTCTAGTTTTGCTCACAGATTAACTAATTAAATATTAAATCTGATAATTAAATATAACTTATTATTAAAGACCCATACTTACAGATATAAAATAAACACCTAAAATGTTTTGCTTATTTTATTTTAATCAATAAACTGGATAGATGAACTTATAAAATTTAATATGTTTGTATCTTTGTAATTGTTATACATTTGAAATACTTCATAAACTGTTAAACATATTAGTGTTACTAAGTAAAATACATATTAAATTGTGATTGCATTTGATTGTAAGGTCATACATTTATTTGTATATTGTATTGTATCATGTGTTGAAAATCCTCCTAATCGTCTGGTTTGGCTACCAAACAATCAGTTCCAACTAACTAAGGCCCAACTAAATCTTGGTCTGCACACATTCAGATCATGATTTTAGGTGACATATACAACATCTTGGTGTGCACACATTCGGGTCATGATTTTAGGTGCCATATACAGCATAAGTATGCAGCTGTATGTGTTCACATTTTTACATGAGTTTTTATGCAAAGAAAGTAAATTTTCTAAAGGTTCATGACAAGTTTATGATTCAGTGGTTAAAGTAATGTGTTCTGTTATTATTGGAACTTAGCATTGCAATATTTGAAAAAAATTTTAGCAATAAAAAAGAAAAGATGGAATTTGTTGATAAAAATTGAAACTTAACACTAATTCTATATAGTGTAACACGAAGACCAATACTTTTTCACATTTTAAAATATAGGTAGTGCTAACAATTTTCCTGGTTGCTTTATTTTATATATGTATACATATGTATATATATATCTTCACACGCATATATATATATACAATCAACAAATAAACTTCTCACATACAGTTCAAATATATATGCTTTTAACTATATATATATATATATATATGCTTATATATATATATATATATATAAGTTATATATGGTTACAACTATAATATACAACAAGCAGGACTATATTTATATATTGCTATTTATATATATATTATAATTTGATTTGTGTATATGTGCGCGCGTGTGCGTGTTGTTTTTAAAATAAGCAGTTTCAACTTATTACAATGCCTAATAAACATTAAAACCTGTTTACTGCCGGTTTGGTGACTTGTCAAAAATACAATATATTGTTGTTTGTAGTTATGTTTATGTGAAATTTATTCACGGCAGTAAGAAATGCTGTTTGATGAATCTTTCATAAATAACAGTATAAATTCCTCTAAAATGCCATTAATACATTTTTGTTAGCATTGCAGTACATTTTAAACACAGATTAAACCACATTGAATAGATAGATGGCAGGTCACTCAGCCTAGTGCATTGCTATCTTAAAATGATATTCAATTGTTTACATTTCTTGGAAAATTTATGAATTTTTAGTTTTAGCAACGTTGCTTCTACTATTACATTTACTATCATTCGTACTTACTACTACTACAATATATATATATATATATATATATATATATATATATATATATATATATTAATAGCAATAGCTGTCCTATTAATTTACACTGCTGATGATAATAATGATGAGGACGATGATGAAGTACCACTTTTCCACGACTTATACTAATACTATTACTGCTAGTATTCTTACTTCTAAAACTAAAATAATGTTGCTTCTACTAATGCTATGCTATTGCTGCTTCTATTGTTTTTACTACTACAACTGCTAGTACTACTGCTGCTGCTTCTGTTGTAGCTCTTATTGCTACTACTGCTACTTCTACGACAACTACTACTGTTATTTCTATTTGTAATAGAGTTAATGTTATTGTTATTTTTAATAGATTTGTGTGACCTTTGTTTGACCATGATAATGATGATGATGATGTTTAGTGAGATAGTGATGATGATGAAATTGGGTGAAATGATGATTGTGATGTCGGTGACAACGTGTTTATTCGTCGGTGCTCTAATTTTAAACCAGACTTGAAAAAATCAGAGAAAAAAAAAGGTTAGAAATATAATGATGAATGATCAGTGCAACATCGTCATTGTCGCCATCGTCATCAATAAAAATAAGTTTAAAGAGAAATGTATGAATTACGACAATAAATGTGAAGTTATTTGCTTGGTAATTAATTTGGCAGGCTATATTATGATTACATCCTGACTGTTATGTCCTGTCACCTACTCTTGTAGGTTTTATGTTTATTATATTAATGTGATGTGGATTATATTAATCAGGGTAATCTGATGTGAATTATATTATTCAGGGTAATCAAATGATTATATGGTAACTTAATTAATAAAATTTTCAATTTGTTTGTTAATGTAGTAAAGATAGTTTATTTATTAATTAATCAATTATTTAATGAAGTGTGTCCTTGAGGTTAGTCTTCACAATGTTTTCGCAAAATAACCATCAAATGCGTACTAATTCCCTAAAGCTAATCCAGCAGTACAGTTTCTAGTGCTGCTTCTGATGATGATGGTGCTGCTGATGTGAAAAATGATATTAATGATAATAACCACGTGATGACTGCATGGAATTGTTATGACTTCCGAAAAATCGTCCAGATTAAAATAAAAAAAAAACTAGAGACTATGAAATTTCTTTGTTTAGCTTAGTTTTTGTTTTGTATGTTATTATGTATATCTTTTTAACTATAAATAAGCCACACACACACACACACTAATGCACGCATACATGCACACAGATATACACACTCTCCCACACACACACACACACACACACACACACACACACATGATGACACATATTCTACCAGGAAAAACCAGCATGGCCAAATTGGCTTGCCAGACGGAGAAAAAGTCTCTGAAGAGATCACGAGCAAAAAATGAGTGGGATGATGACGACGATGATGATGACGAGGAAGAGAATGAGTATAGGTTTGTTTTCGTTGTTGATGGTGATGAAGATGATGGTAGTAACTATGATGTTGGTGATGATGTAGATTAATAACGAGATTAGTTCTACAATGGTTTTTCTGGTGATTGTTATTTTACTATTGTTGAGATTATGACTGCAGTGATATGACACAACTCTTCGTCATTATTGTAATCGACTTACCGTCATTCCTTCAACATTTAGCCTGCCCCATTCAGATGGACTGAATGCCCCGGGCCAGAATCCAGCTTTTGCCCCGGCCTCAACAACTATGACGTCAATCACAGCTAACAGCAACCTGAAAAACATCAACACAGCGTCATTAGACGATCCTCCGTTAGCAAAAAAATTGCACCAAGAATTCATTCCACCCATGTCATCAACATCGACAACGTCATCAGTCTGGCTTTCCCCACCACTCTCTAACACGTCTACATCATCGTCGTCGTCATTTTACGATAACTCTTCTACCTCTGGTAGTGGTGGCAGCGGTGGTGTTGGGAGTTATAGTGGAGGTGGCGGCGGTGAGGGCTCTTCGACCCACTCGGGCCTACTGTCCCCTGATCACGAGAGCCACAATCTACCTGTACATCTGTACGCAGCTGGGTGGAGAAAACATTGGAGTAACAGGGAGAAGAGGGAGTACTATTTTAATAAGGTTGTGTTGGGGGCGGTTGCCCCTGTGACGATGAAGATGATGATGATGAGAGGGATAAATAATTTATTATCACTACAAGCATCTGTTTGAAGCTTCATGTCGTCATCTTATTCTTGTCAAATCCATACTCTTATCATTACACTTTTGTTTTAGTCTTAACATCATCTCTTGTAGTAATTGCTATGATCATTGTTTTCATTATCATTTATCTTATGTCACCATCCTTATCATTGATGTAACCGTATTAACTATTAATTTCATCATCATTAATATTATCATTGTCTTAATTATTTCTCTTATCAACATTATTCATCATTGTTGTTCTGGTGATATCCTTCATCATAAACTTACTCATCATTTATGCTATCTAATATTTATTGATTTTTTTCACCGCTGAATTTCATGAATAATAATAATATTATCATCATCATCATCATAGCCATTGTAGCTTGCATCTTCATAGTCATTATCATCATTGTCCCTACCTTGCAGAAAACCGGTGTATCGAAATGGGATCTTTGCGAATTAGAGGCCCAGCAGAGTCATCATCATGTTAGTGATAATGATGAGGACTACGAATGAGAGGATTGTGATGATGGTGGCAATGATAAGATGATAATGGTCATGGTGATTATGGTGATGGGAGTGATAATTAGTTAGTATCATTGTAATTAAGATGATGACGATGTTAATGATGATGTCTTTGGTTGTGGTGATGGCGATAGAGAGGATGATGATGATAAGGATGATTGCAATGCTGATGACAATGATAACGATTTGGTAATGAGAAAAAAAATTTTTTGCAATGATGACATTTTGGATGATGACAAAGATTGTGATGGCTTCAAGTTAGCTTGTTGATGCTTATAGGATAAATATGATAATAAGGTTCTTGAGAATGAATGAATGAATTTGGGAATGGTGATAACGTTTAGATGATAATGGAGATGTTGATGATGTTGATAACTATAGTAATGATGATATTTTCAATTTCAGGTTGATCCATACACAGATCCTCTTGGCATATCAACACCTCATCATCATCAGCAACATCATCAGCAGCAGCTACAGCAACTACAGCACCAGCAGCAACCACCACAACTACTACAGCATAGTCTAAGTGTGGATTCGCAACAGCAGCAGCAACTTCAACATCAACCTCTGCAGCAGAGACATTACAGCCTAGATTTATCTACAGGTCAGTCTACTACGTCGACGTTTCTGCAACAACAACAGCAACAACAACAACAGAGTATGGTGAAAAAAGTCATTGCATATTCTGGGTTTGTTTTGTCTGGTGGGGAGTTTGCATCCTTTATTTGTTTCTTAGCTGGCCGATTGTAGATGTTTATAAAATTGGACTACTGGCTGATGACTAAGCAATATAAAATCAGCTATCCAACAAACCAAACCGGCCAGTTAAAATTTTAAATCAACCACTAATTGACAACTGATCTAACCAATCAGCAGTCCATTCTGGGATTTTTCCCTCCAATCGGGAGCTAGCCTGGCACAGCCAATGCAAGATCACCCCGCTACCTGCACCCTCATGCCGAGGTTGAGGTCATGAGGGGGTTGATGGTTGCCAAGTTGAGACAGAATTATCAGGATCTGTGCTCACATCGAGAAGGTAGGCTGAGTGATTGATTAATTGGTTGGTTTGTTAATTGATTGATTGGCTGGCTGGCTGGTTAGCTAGTTGGTCAATAATATGATTGGCTGGTTAGTTGGCTGGTGTGTTGGTCATTCAGATGGATAATTTTAATCTCATAAACATTATTAATCTTATTAATTATCATTATTATAACTACCATCACCACATCACCATAACAACCATCATCAAACCACCACCATCATCATCATTAGGGATAGATGCACCGATGGAGTCGTTCAACAGATGGCTGCTTGAACGAGCCACAGTGGACAAGGGCATTGACCCACTGCTGCCCAGCCAATGTTCTGTGCCATTGTCTAGTGTTCGTTTTATTCTATCTGATTATCCAGTCTTTTATTTTTTATTATTTTCTTTCAATAATGTTATTATTATTGTTTATAGTTGTTGTTGTAGAAGTAGTAGTTGTTGTAAAAGTAGTAGTAGTAGTAACAGTAGTAGTAGTAACAGTAGTGGTAGAAAAAGTAGCAGTAAAAGCAGCAGCAGTAGTAGTAGTAGTATTTTCGCCACCATCCTCATCATCATCCTCATCCTGGTCATCATCAGTCGATGTTCAGGGAGGTGATAAACGACGTGCCCATTCGTTTGTCCCGGCCGAGGAGGTGCGAAGATGCCAGGAGGATGCTGTCCAAATATGCAGAAGCAGCCAAGTTTGTCGTCATTATTGTCGAGATGTGATTCTATGATGATGGTGGTGATGATGTAATTATGATATTATTCAGTTAGTCACGTACACTCTTAATAATCTTTTATTCACTCACTCGCTCATTCACTCACTCACTCATTAATCATTCTTTCACTCACTCACTTAATCAAGTCACTCAGTAATCTTTCAATCATTCACTCACTCAGATTACTCAGTAATCTTTTACTCACTCACTCACGCACTCCCTCACTCACTCAATCAGATCGCTGGTGATGAAACGCGGCTGCAATGTCGAAAATCGGAAGACGGTGGCCTGGCACGCCGACGATACGTTCAGTTTCATGCAGAAGCGTGGGAACGCAACATATGACGATTACATGGTGGTTAATCGCGGTGGTGATTACGTGGCGATCATGTGGTTATGCGGTCGTGTTTTGTCTCGTTAAAATCATAACCGTCGCTAAAATTATAACCATCGTAATCACCTATCACCATCGTTGTTATCATCGTCGTCATCGTTCCTGGCATATTAATGGCATGGGATGATGATGAGGATGATGATGGCGATGAGGATGATGATGTCGACTGGTGATAATGATAATACCTGGTAACTATTTGTTGTATGATGATGTTATATGGTGATGGTGGTGTTGCTGTATGGTGATGTCGTGTGATGATGATGATGTCGTGTAATGATGATGATGTCGTGTGATGATGATGACGTTGTATGTTGAAAAATTGGCGCCCTGTTACTACAATGTGATTATCTTTCGATGTGGTGATGTGAGTAAGATGCGAGCAATTAGGTGATAAACTGATAAGATGATGGTTTATGTACCGTTGTAATGGCTTGCTGGAATGATCATACGATGATTGTTTGATCATACGATGATTATGGTGGTTTCTTGGCAATATCTTAACATGGTACGGTTACGTGATAATGTCTGGTGATTATCAACATCATCGTTACCGTCGATCAGGACAGACTAGCACATCTGAAGCGCGAGTGTCAGCCACACGTCATCGAAGCCGCCAAATCGTCAGTCGAAGGCATCTGTCTCAAGGTGTGGTCATGTTATCTAGTCATGATTGATGTGGTTTTATGTAGATCTTATGGTGATTAATTTTATCTATTCCCAATGGTGTAGTCTCATAATGGTAATGTTTTTTAATGGTGACTTTTTTGAAGACATGGCTGTTGTCTAGTCTAGATCATACATAACCATTATAATCACCCACTTCATCACCGTAGTTACTATGAGCGTCATAGTCACTATCATGATCGTCGTCATCATCATCGTCAGGTTTACTCACTCTCTTGCGTGTATGTCAAAAAAATTTACGACAAACATCTCTCTGTCTTATCTGCTGCCGGAGTTGACGGTGAGTGAGTGAGTGGTGAGAAGAGTGGCGATGATGATAAGAGTGATGATGTCTTGCTGCTGTTGAGGATGATAATGAGAAAGTGATTGTGTGGTGGTGGGAATGAGAGTAACAATAATGATGATAAAAATGATGATGAGATAAATGAGTGACTATGTGGATTAAGGGCGATGATGATTAGAACGCTTATGGGTGAGTTGATGTGATCATACAATCAGAATGATGAAGATGACGAATGTTTGAGTGGAAACTTAACTTTGATGGGATAACAATTTCAAGTTAGGTAATGATAAAACTTCATATAAATGCCCAATCCAACAGTGAAAACATTGCCGGGACCAACGTCATCATCATCATTATTGCTACCTCACTCACTTACTCATCATCATCATCGTTACCCGTGCTCCCCCATTGCCCTTTCCACGCCCCTTTCCCCCAACGTCACCGTCGAACACCACGACAGTGGTGAAGTTGTGACTCTTAGACTAAAGTTAGCAGCGGCAGGTGTCGCAAATAATGACGTCATGAAGATAAACAGCATGCACTTCAGAAAACTAGTGAGTGAAATGAGTGAAATGTGTAGTTGATGGGAGGGGATGGGTGAGATGATGATGATGGGAGGAAATGATGAAGAATGAATGGAGAAGTGGTGATAATTTAACGAGGAGTGACATTTTCTTTCTCCATTTGTAATTTCATCCTATCTTTCAATATGTTTGTCCACTCATTCGTCCATCCATCTATCAATCCACATTTCGCTCTTTTATTCATTCATTCACCTAGGTATTTTTGGTTTTTTCACTCCATTTACTCGTTCATTCATTCATTCATTCATCTTCCTAGGAACAGTTGTACATGTTGAATTGCAGAGATGACCCAAAAATGGAGCACTTCCTACATAGAACTTGGTGTCTCCTTAAAAGATATAATGTATGCGTTCGTGTGCGTGTGTGCATGTGTGTGTTGTTATTTTATATGATATGATGTATATGATATTATATATCACATTACAAACCACATCACTCACACACATCCACACAACATCAGACCTTCTTTGGGACAAAAGAGAACGAAGGCTTCGGCCTCCAGGGAGCTCTGCCCGTCTCCGTTTTCCAATGCCTGAACCGATCGTTTGGTGTAACGTTCGAATGTTTTGCCTCGCCTCTCAACTGCTACTTCAAACAATTTTGCTCGGCTTTCCCTGACACGGATGGATATTTTGGCTCTAGAGGGTGAGTTAATCGATGAGCCAATGAATGAATGAATGATTAGATGAATGAGTGATTGAATGAATGAGTGATTGGGTGAATAAATGATGAGTTGATTCACAACGTTCCATTCCCGTCTCAACATCATCTTATGATGACCACCACAGCTCCATATTGGACTTCTATCCTATCTCTGGTTCGTTCGAAGCCAACCCACCATTCAATGAGGAACTCATGGAAGCCATGGTTGACCATTTTGAGGTGACCACTGTTCATTTTATTAACTCACGAACAAGTATACAAACAAAGATGTACACGTACGAAACGAAACGAAACGAAATTTTATTTGCTCCATAAAATTAAAAAAGAATTTAATGATAAGAAGCGGGCTGACCATGATAGAATTCTTATTGGAATTCATCGAGCATGGCCACCATAACAGAAAATACAAATTATGTTTCTAGTTTTCTATATAAATTATACACCTTTGAATGTAATGGTCCTTGAATAATTCACAATTAAAAACCAACACATACATTTATGTGTGTTTTCAATAAAAACGTTTTTAACCTATTTTTGAAGTTCTTGTGCATATTTTCATTACAAAAACCATTTTTCATAATATAGTTTCATACTCTTTGACCTTTATGTGTTTTACTTTCAGTAATTTCAAGATTATTAATTTCGATTTTAAACAGCTCTTTATAATTTAAATATTGTATTGGTCCGAATACAGTCATTTGAGTTTTTGAGTTGTTAATGGTTAACCTGTTGCTGTTGAACCAAGAAACAACGTGTTTTACGTTATCGTTCGTTTTTTCAATTGTTTCGTTGATGTTTTTTCCGCTACTAAAAATGTTAGTATCATCAGCGAAACAAACATAGTCGAAATAGTCTGTTGCATTTGGAAGGTCGTTGATGAACAAAATAAATAAAAGTGGTCCCAAAATACTTCCTTGAGGGACACCAACTCCATTTGGCCGTAATGACGAATAATTGTTTTTCCAGCAAACAAACTGTTTCCTTTCTGACAAGTAGCTTTGGAACCATTTCAAAATCACACCCCTCATGCCATAGTGTTCTAACTTGCCTAATAAATATGCGTGATCAATGCAATCGAAAGCTTTGGAAAGATCAAGACAAGTTCCAACAACAAAATGTTTTTTTTCCGTGAGTATTCCGATTTTTCTTATTAGTTCTATAATAGCCAGTTCTGTCGAGTATTTTTCACGAAAACCAAACTGATGACTGGAAAGAATGTTATTTTTTTGTAAATAAGATGTGATTCTTTTATACATTATTTTTTCTATTATTTTAGAGAAAGTTGACAAGAGTGAGATGGGTCGAAAATTTGATGCATCATTGTTTCCAGTTTCTTTTTCTATTGGTATAATTTTTGAAATTTTTAAGCATTGCGGAAACACACCTTCCATAATGGAAAAATTGATGATGTGTTCAAGAATAGTTGCTGTTGAGTTGATTGTTTCTATAACGACTTTTGTTGGAATGTCATCCCAGCCACTGGAAGATTTTGGAATCAACAATTTAGTCGTAGATATAATTTCATCTGCCGGTACATAAACACAAAAAAATGAATTCGAAACCCTGTTGCGAAGATATAATTTCCAATTATTATCAACGTTAAAGGATTTTATCAAATTTGGTGCTATGTTTACGAAATGTTCATTTAGAAAATTTTCTGGATCTTCTATTAGTTGGTCGTTTGAAGTTTATTGAATATTAGAACCGTGTCTACTAGAAATATTTTAAACTTCTTTTATAATTGACCATATTTTTCTAATGTCTTTTTTATTTTGCTCAATTTGTTGAAAATAATATTGACGTTTTGATTTCGTTATCAACTTTGTACAAAATTGACTGAAGCTTTTGAATTTTTCATATTTTTCCTGAACAGGATTTTTCAGAAACATTTTGTATAAATATTTTTTTTTGTTGATCATTTTTTTAATATCTTTTGATATCCATGGTTTTTGTTTCATCAAAAGTTTTTTTTTCTTCAGTGATTGTATTAAACACGCATCATAGAAACAGGACTGAAAAATTTTGATAAATCTTTCAAAAGCCATATCAACTTTTATACACCCAAAAACTTGGCTCCAATCTGATGACAGTAAATGTTCATTTAATTTTCTTATACGATATGCTGAGAAAGATAACTTGTTGATCGAATAACAGCGGAAGTTTTTTATTGATTTCATCACGAACCTTGCAGTTTAACCTATCTGACACATAGCAGCCGACACCCCCTCCCAATTTATGTTATCGATTTTTGCAAAAAAAAATTATATCCTCTTAAGTTTACTAAATTATGGTTTTCACTACGCAGCCAAGTTTCTGATATAGCAATAACATCAAAAAAAACATCCAATTGATCAATAAAATCTTCTAATTCTGACAATTTATTGATGAGACTTCTTATATTTAGATGAATCAAATTAAAATTTATACCACTGTTAATTTTATTATTTTTACTATAATTTGCATACGTTGATTTAAAATTGTTTATACATGAATGAAAATTACACATTAATTTAAATTTATTTTGAATTTCATTGTAGTTATCAGTTTCATCATCATCTAGGATATTTAGCTTATCCATCTTTCTTTGTTTTTTCAACAGTAACTTCAGCTTTTTTATTAAATTGCCACTCGCGCACTATAATGTGTTGCGGCAATATCGCTGGGTCCTTTATTTTTTTAACGTCATTTCTATCAATGCAAACTCTGAACATAGAGGACTCTATATCATCTTTAGTTTTATCATCAGAATAGTTGACTGTTGTTATCAAAACTATTTTCAGATGGTGTCGATTTTTTCTTAAACTGTTTAACGACTGGATAGCATGATAAAACTCTAATTCCGTTAGTAGTCAGATATTCTTCGACATCATTTCTGTGGCATTTGCTAATGTTGCTTAGACAGAAAACAAATTTTTTAATTAACTCTTTGTCTGCCTTTAATTTACCGTTATCTAGAATTTTTTGTCCAATAATTCTAACTGGTTTTTTCTCAACTGTCTTAGAGTCAGCTACCTTGTTTGTTGATACTCTTCGTTTGTTGTCTGCTTTTGTGTTGTTGCTGAGCTGTTGAGATTTCTTTCGTTTATTAACAAGCAAGAATGGCTGAACATCATCGCCAATTGGACTGTCATATGCATCCGACCATAGTGGTTTATTGACTAGTTCTTCAGTGGTATTAATTTCTAAATTTTTATTAATTTCAGCATTATTAACGTCTAATTTATTTTCAACAGTATCAACAAGTTTTTCAAACTTAACGGTATTGATGTTGTTATTTTCAGTAGATTCTATAAATTTATTTATTTCAACAACATTGTTTTTTATTATTGAAACAGCAACATTTCAATTAGTTCACGTTTAATTATTTAAAAGTTTATCGTTAACAAACTTTCGACCTTTGGAACTTTATTTAAGTTAGAACTCACAAATATAGAACACTTTTCCCAATATTTATTCTCCTTTAAATATTTCATTATGAAAATACATTCAAACAATATCTCTTTATTTTCCTATTCCCGCGAGACTGAAACTTTTCAATTTTTTCTATTTTCAAATTAACTAATTCGTTTTTCAGAGCTTTAATAGCATTGTCAATATCCTCAAAACTGTAAAATTCAACAATATTATTTACAAACGAGCCATTTTCACTTAAACTCCAATTATTTTCAAGAAAATATAAAACTTCATTGTTTACAAGCGACCTCGCCATGTTGAAAAATATACATACATACATACATACATACAGCAGCGGTTTTTGCGCGTCTGTGTGTTGGAAAATGTCCAGTTGAATGCCGACGTGGTTGAGTGACGTTACAGCAAATAAAATCAAATTTAGTCAGACGCTTGGCTTTTGGTGTCATTCGTCAACGATTTGGTTTTAACATACATACATACATACATACACACATACATACATACATACATACATACATACGTACATTCAACAAGAGAGTCCATTTGTTACTTGATGTTTGATTCTTCAGTGTCACTCATCATGTTTTGGTTTTAGCATACATACATACATACATACATACATACTTACTTACACATATGCATACTTACATGCAGACAGACAGAAAATATGCTAACATAGTAATTTACAAACATATATATACAGAGTGGTCATACATATAAATCTACGAGCGTTCAAACAAACATGCCCACACACATTACATAGTAACATACATACCAACTGGCATATATACAAACATGCATACATATTTGTTACTTGATGTTTGACTGTTCAGTGTCATTCATCATTCTTGGGTTTTAACATACAAACAACAAAACATACAAACATACAACAAAATATACAAACATACAACAAAACATACAACAAAACATACAAACATACAACAAAATATACAAACATACAACAAAACATACAAACGTATAGAGCCTGCTGTCTGAAACACCACTTCCACTGTCATTCATCATCTTCCTACCTGATTGGAAAGATCCTCCCACGGAGGCGCTCATTAAGCTGGAGTCGAGCAGGTAAGTGAAGGAATGAATGAATGAATAAATAAAGTGGGAAAAAACGAATAGGTGAATGAATGAACGAATGATTGGACGAGTGAATGGATGAATGAATAATCGAAAAAATGAGAATTTGTTGAATGAAAAACGATTTTCCACCTATTATGTCATATTTTTCCATCCAACTTCTCAATCATCGTAACTGTTATTATTACCGCTACCAATGTAATCGACGTCACTATAATTTTCTATTATTATTTCAATCATCACCCTGATCTTTACCTGTTTCTTGGTCGTGATTTGTCTTCAACCTTATGACCTTCACCTTGACCTCACCCAGATACAAGAGACAGCAGATGACCATACCGGCCATGGAGCACGAGTACAGGCATGGATTCCAGCACATCTGCCAGAGGTATGTGTGGTGGGCTGCTGGGGTGATGATGGTGATGGTGATAGTGATGATGATAGTGATGATGGTCGTTATTAGGACGACAATAATCTAACAGCTTATACTCATTAATTTGATTATTCATCATATCAATCAACCAACCAAGAAACCAAACTCAGTTATTTTAACCAACCAACCAATAAAGTACACACCCCACTCAAAAGCCAACCAATCAATCAATTAATCAGTACTCTACTCAACCAAAAACAAAATCAGCCATCAATCATATGCTTCACTCACCTATTACAATCGTTTGATTAATCAATCAATTTTACACATCATACCCATTTAACCAACCAGTCAATAACATTTCCCACTCAACCAGCCAATTACATTTCTTTCTCACTCTACCAGCCAATCACGCGCTCCAATCTACACAACCGACCAACCAATCACGTTTTCCATTTACTCAACCGACCAATCATAATTAACCAAACAAACCAACCTACCGACCGACCAATCAGGAAAGACCTGAACGTGCGATCACTGCACGGGACCCTGGTCATATTTCTCCAGAACGACGCCGGTGCCAACAAGTGGAGCGTCAATAACGACAACATGAGGGAACTCTTGTACGCCTACCAACTAAATAATAATAATAATAATAATGGGCCTACCAACTAAATAATAATAATAATAATAATAATAATGGGAACACTTCTTTTATTCAATCAAATATCATAAAACAAACAGAATAATACAATATTCAATATATATATATATACAAATAAAAATCCCAATAAAATACTAATAAAAAAATAATCAAGTATACGATAAAACCCTATTAATACATAATAACATCAATAACAATAATAATAATAATGTAGTTAAGGTATAAAATGAATGGATGATTTAAAACGAAACAAAATTTTACTGTTGAATGTCAGGAAATCCAACAGTTATAATAAGAACAATGCCACTTTTACTACTTCTGCTATTACTACTTCTAGTTACTACCACCACTACTACTAGTGTTAGTAGTAGAAGTGAGTAGTAGTGATAGTAAAGTAGGCTACCGGCTGGCGAAGAAGCCAGTGAGCGAGTTTTCAGGCACGCTACGACAGCCTATCTCATTGATTACACATTGTCCAGTAACCATGGCCTGCTTACACCGGTTTATTATTATTACTACTAGTAGTAATAAAAAATGTAATGATTATTATTGTATTATATTACGTTATTAATGCTAATTAAATCAGTAAAGATGATAATAAAAACTGTTGGTGAGGACACTTACAATATAAACATTTGTATAGACATGATCAAGAGTATGATTTATATATATACATATATACGTGTGTGTTTGTATGTGTATAATAATATATATACTAATAGTAATAATAATATATATACATATATATATATATATATATATATATATATATATATATATATATTGTATATATATATCAGCATCTTATTCTTTCATACGTATGTAACTCTTTATTCTTATCAGCAAATAGTTTTTGTTCTTACTCATTTTGTAATGATACTGATAATAATAACGCTGGCGGAGGTAGTAGTGGTGGTAGTAGTAGTAGTAGTAGTAGTAATAGTGCTGAATAGTGATAATGATGACGACGATGATGATGATGATGTTGTTGCGTGTGACTGAATGATTGGAATGTTGTTTTTCTATCAGTATGTTGTTAATTTTTGATATTGCTATAATAGATTAATAGAATAATAGTTATAATAATGATTATTATTATTTTTGATAATCCTATTATTTATTGTACTTCTATACACTGGTGATCATGTTATGTTTCATTTTTTTTTGACAGTTCAATTCAGCCGTACATTAAAAAACAGTTGCCAGATTGTAACCCTCGTTGCCGTTGTATTAAAAAAAATATTTCAATGTAATAATAATATTGCTATGAAATAATTTTCTGAGAGTTCACTTCGTAAAATATTATTATTACTATTGTTATTATGTTAATTACTATTATGTTCATTATTATTATTATTATATTATTCTCACTTCGTACGATGGCCAATTGGTTGTAATGTAATATCGCACGCATCTATTTGTATATATCGTTTGAGTTATTTGTTATTATTGCTATTATTATTGTTATGTTATAAAGGATGATGATGATGATAATATAGGTTAACTGAAAGGTTAAAGGTCATTCTCCCTCTTTCTCTCTCTCACTCTCTCTCTTTCAAATAGACGTATTGCATATGCTAGGCTTTCAACCATTGCTCTATTATTATTATATTATAATTATTGCTGGGAATGGTTTTTATTGTTTCGTTGTGTATGTCTGCAGTAACGTTCACTTAAACTAAGTCTTATTTATTTTATGAATGAGTGAATGAATGAATTAAAAATTACTTTGTTTTGCATTTTGATTCTGTTTATTATTATTATTATTATTATTTACTATAATTAGTAATACATTCTGTCTTTAATACTGTTATCAATTGTGAGTAGTATAGAAGATTGTTTAAAAGGATATGTAATCTGATTATTAATCTGACAGGATAAATTTTATTGACAAAATTTTGAGCTGATATTATTATTATGTAATAACTATAATGTTAAAATTATATATAACGCTATTATTGCCATTTGTCTCGTTAAGTGTTAATATTCATGTTGCTATATTCTGAGCCAAATTGTTGGATTTTTATTATTGGTAAATTATCTCTGTACTGCTGTTTGAGTTATTTACTAAAAAATAAAAAGTGTAATTTTGGTTAATATTATATAGTTATTATTATAATATGAATGAAAATTTATATTATACAGTAATAATAAATAAATTTAAATTTCATATCATTTCTTGTATGGTTTGTCTGCAGAATGTTTGCTGTATGTATCTCTTAAAGTTCATGTGCTGTGTTTCTCCGAGTCATTTTTTACGTGGATTAACTCATTCATTTATTCGTTTGTTCATTCTTTTATCAATTATTCATTCATTCATCTACCCCATTCATTCATCCATTCATTCATTCATTCATTCATGGACGATTTCGTACATTGTTTCATATTTTAATGACTGTCTATTTCTTCTTATCATTATATATAAATAAATATTTAAAATATATCTATACAAACACCCACGCATATGAATGTATATATATATATATATATATATAAATTTACCATCATATATGTATATATATATAAAGTATACATGTGTATTGTATGTATGTTTTTGCATTTAAGATTCCCATTGAATTTTAGATGCTCGTTTGATGACAATATTGAGAGAGAGCATCGTGAACAGCCGATACACCGGAGTTAAGAATGTATGTGTATATAGATTAATGTACGTATTTATATATGATGTATGTATATATATAAGAAATATTTAATGTGTATGCATTAGGTTATCTGTACATATGTGATTTATATGTGTATGTGGATACAAACAATTTTGTATTTAATTCCTACGTTCGTAAATGTAATTATTTTATTATTGATTTTTGTTCACTAACTGTTCTTTTATATTCACTTTGTGTTCTTTTTTTTTCCTGATTTAAAATTTCGATTGATAAAGTTCAATCATTAACAATACCATTGAATGAAGATTTGTATATTGTAGTTACTAATAAAAACGTATTCAGTGTCTATATTATGATTAGTAAAAGGAATAAATAATTAAGAATGATTTCGTGAAGATAAGTTGAAGTTATTGAATGTTGATACTAAATGTTGTACGTCAATTTTAGCTCAAGATCAATAAAACGGCATAAGATAAATCAAAATGAAATTTCACACGATTACCAGATGGCCTGTACTTATGGCTTATTAACGTTTTATTTTATTACATAACATTTTAACGTTATTACTTGGAAGGTCTCTTTTTTTTTATTCTGGTTTCATAAACTTGGAGAGTCATACCAAATGACCGACCCTGACAGTCCGCTCATGACTTACAAATTTTTAAATGTTTTTATTTAAATTTCGTTTGTCGCCTTTTTTTCGCCCAATCAATTTTATTTAGAAAGTTACATAATAATAAATGTGAAACAAAGGATGCGATGATGTTGAGGTAAATTTGTTCTATGCACAGTTTAATTTTTATGTCATTGGGTTCCAGCAACTTCAGCACAGTGACTGCTCGTTACATACGAATTATTTATAAAACATCAATTATTAAAAACATGTAATCATTCACTTTAGTAAAGATGTTGTTCCATATAGCTTATGCTAAAATTTGTTAAGTTAAACGAAATATTGATTCTATGGATGTAAAAATTGTCTCATATTTCATCTGATATAAAAATTTTGACTTTGGTCTTATAAAGTTTAACATCCCTTAAAATTTGTCTTTGGCCGATTAATTAAGAGGCTGTTATTTTTTACAACCGGTTAGAAGCAAAGACAGATTTGTACTTTGCAGTACCTTTATAAGTGAGAACATTTTGAAGCACATCATTTGTTCATCGAATTGCCCTCTTGGCACCTTTGCTAATTTTTGCTTTAAAAATCGACAATTATTAATTTTTCACTTCACAATAAGATAAATAAAGAATAAAAATGTCCAATAACCAAGAAATTGCGTCGCCGGAAAAATCTGAATTGAATACGACAGATCCCAAAAATGGTGGAACTGTCACGTGTAAAATTTGGTTTAGAAGTACTCTAGTAATAATTCCGTTTGTGATTGTGACGATGATGGGGATGATGATTGCGCTGCGCCTAATAAGAAGTTGTATATATATATATATTTCTTTGTCTGTGTTTGTTTGCGTGCGTGTTACTGTGGGGTACCGTGTCATTAACAGTAATAATGTGTTATAGTTCTAGTTGTTTGAATGGGTATTAGTTTATATTTAATGTAGTGTGTATTAGATCTATAGTGTAATTTGAGTTTGAGTCTCAGTTGGGTGGGCCATGATGGTATAAATTGAAATATAGATAACACCAAGGTCACCCTACTCAAGCCTCTACCCCTAAATAAGTTTTTTTTGGTTAATTTTGACGTAGTAATGTAATGTAAGGTAATGAATGTAGTGGCGGACGAACGCAGAATTGTCGTTAACAAGTTAATTTGGTTTTATGGTAAAATTTTTGATAAATTTAAAGATGAATAGTTTAAAAACAATATTTTTGATTTTTATTCTACTAACGAGATAAATAATGTTAATAAAATCTTACTTTGAGAACTGGAACAGCTTAAAAATGGTAATGTCAAATTTTCTTCAAAGGTAACTCCAAGCATAAGTCTAACAAGAAATGCCTCAAATAGTTTTTTCGGAAAAAAGTGCAAATTTATTGCTAATGTTTGTGATATTTAACATTGAACATGTTCAAAATAACAGCTGTCAATATGATTCGTTTAATACGATAATCAGATTTAATAAAGTCGAAAATTTATTAAAAGATAATATGCTCATTATTATGTCAACAACATTTATTTACAAGCAAGAAAAATAACATCAAGAACAATAGCTGGATGTGGATACGCTAATACTCTAAAAACTGCTGTATCACAACCAGGTGCAACTCAATTGAAATATGTACGTACACAAGTCACATGTTATTGGTACCAGTGTTGAATGTAACTCAACAGATTTCTTCTTCATTCGGTATTTATGTTCATTGTTATCGGCTCATGAACGTTCTGATTGGAGTAATGACAATAATTTACATACAGACAGCCGATGACAACTTCAATACTTCTAATGAAATCAACATGAATTACTCCGAAGTTTCTGACAGATCGGACGGTTCACAGTCTGATAACTATGGTTTTACTACAGTATTTAATAGAAACAAAAAAAGAAAACAAACCGATTCGTCATACGTCAAAGTTCCAATATTAGGAACAATAGCTGTGGATACGCTAATACTCTAAAAACTGCTCTATCGATATTATGATCCGGCAGATCCAATTCGGACTTGGATTTAAAGCAGTTGATCCTCCGTTTAAAAAAATCCATTCTCTATATTGGCAACCTTAACTCCCGCAAAACTGAAACTATCGTCAATCATCTGAAGACTTCTGGAACCAATTTCATTTCCTAGCACCTTATCAAGAAGAAAAATATTCCTGTTAACGATAAACCTGACGACCACAAATCCGAAGTCATTGATGGTAGCGCATCTTTTAGATTATGAGTTGCTCAAGATCTGAATACATAAGTTGTTTATATTATTCATAGACGACCAGACTTATGTTAATTCTATATTTAAACTCATCCTTTACGCTGATGATGCTAGTCTCTTTTTTGCATCAAAGTCCCTAACTCAAGATACCAATCTCATAAACACTAATTTAAAACTTCTTACCAACTGGTTTTCTCAAAATGGTTTGAAGGTAGACTATCAAAAATGTCTCTACATGTGCTTTGTTCTGAAGATCCTCGCAAATACATTTGGACTCCATGAATTTACATCTTAATAACCATTTTATTGAGAGGAAAACCAGTGCTAATCAATATCTCTAACAAACTGACCATTTTGATAACAGTAATAATAATAATAACAACAATAATAAAAATAATAATAATATGTTGATGATGATTATGTGATGAGGGTGAGGATGATTATAGTTTTTTTTTGAGCAAGTTCTTTTATTAGAAATATCAGCCTCGCGTTTCCTCGCTAACTCAGATAAATCAACATCGCGATCGTTTGTGCTAATGCGAGTTGCTTAATTTATTCTGAGTTTTTGATGGTGACGACGATGATGATGGGGGTGATGAAAAAGAAGATGATAATGGCGATGATGAAGAGGATGACGATGATGATGGTGGTGATGAGGAAGAAGAGGATGATAATGGTGATGATGAAGAGGATGACGATGATGATGGTGGTGATGAGGAAGAAGAGGATGATAATGGTGATGATGAAGAGGATGACGATGATGATGGTGGTGATGAGGAAGATGAGGATGATAATGGTGTTGATGAAGAGGATGACGATGATGATGGTGGTGATGAGGAAGAAGAGGATGATAATGGTGATGATGAAGAGGATGACGATGATGATGGTGGTGATGAGGAAGATGACGATGATCATGTGTTATTACCGATGACGATTATGAGGGTTATATGGTGAGGTTTATGTTAATGACGTTTTAATAATGATAAAATTTTGATGACTCTAGTGATGTGATGATGAAAATGCATTGATGATAATGATGACGATAGATACCATCGAGCCATCAACATGATGACGATGACGACGACGATGATGATGATGATGATTACCAGCAATCCGACTGATTATAAACGTGAAAAATTGAAATATACCATGTAAACCCACCCCTTGATATATATAGATATAATAATTTTTATATAGTTTTATATATAATATATATATATATATATGTATATATATATATATATATATATATATATATATATATATATATATTTGTACCTAACTTTGCTAGTTGTTGACGTTTTGAAATGAATTTTAGCAGACCAATAATAATGAATTAATAGAATTAAAAAAAATAAATAAATGAATGAATGACTGAATGAATAGATAGATAGATTGGTATTATAAATGAACAAATTTTTGCAAACAATTCTTTTTAAAAGTTAAAAATTTGTTGTCAAGTTAATTAAATTAAATTTATGTCAATTAAAATAATATCATGTTTAGTTATTAAAAAAAATAATTTAAAACATTGAAAAATGAAAATTGGATATTATTTTATCGTCATTTTATTGGCGTTCATATGCCTTTACAACTGGATGGATGATTCCACAGGTTTTTTTTCCTTCATTCATTTTACTGACAGATTCTTCATTCATTCGGTCGTTTGTACGTTCGTTCGTACGTTCATTCATTCTTTCATTCTTTCATTTATTTCATCTATTCTTCCATTCAATCATTCAGTTTTTCATTTTTCTATTTTTTCTCTTTTTTTTCAATCTATCAACCTTTTATTTATTTTCAATGGGTTATTTCTTATTTGTTTAATTCAGGGGTGGGCAAGCTACGGCACGCGAAGCTATTTTATGCGACCCGCAAGACCTTGTTCGCCAAAACAAGGTTGTCAACCAGACATTATGACTAAAAAAAGAGCCATAAATCTTAAAAAATTCTCCCCCGGGTCGAAAAAATTTGCTATTTAAGTACATATGCGGCCTTTCATTGATAAAATAGTTTTAAATGCGGCCCTCACGGCAAAAAGTTTGCCCACTTGTGGGTTAATTTAAACTTACTTTCATTCATCGTCATCACAATCGCTATCATCATCATCCTTAGCGTCATTATCAGCACCACAGGTACCATATCATCACCATTACTTTCACCACCATCGTCGTCGTCTTCACCATCATTATTTCATTATCAGTTGCTGCCAAACGTACCGTAACGACGACAAAAACGCCGAAAAAAAATAAACTGAAATTCAAGCCGAAGATCCGAAAGGAGTTGGAATCGGCAAGAAATAACGTTGAATTATTAGTCTTTGTCGATCATAAACTTTATAATAAGTTTGTTTCTGTTTTTTATGTATGTGTGTGTGTGTGTGTGTGTGTATTTGTACGTATTATCGTAAGTGTGTGTGTTTGTATGTGTGTGTGTGTGTGGTTTTGTGGTTGTGTTCATATTTGTGTATGTGTGTGTATTGTAGGAATATGTGCATATCTACATGTATATATATGTTTATATATATATATATATGTATGTTTCGATTAAATATGTATATGTATGAATGTATGTGTGTGTGTATGGTTGTATGTCGTTTTGTGCATTTGAGAATTTATTATTACTTTCGTTTTCGTTTCTTCTTAGTCTATACTTGCTTGTATTTTTATGGTTTGTTTGTCAATCTAACCTTTCATAATTTTATTATTTTACTGGTTTTACATTTTTCGCAATAATTTCAATTTTAATAATTCTCTATTTATTTATTAATTAATTCAAATGTTTTGTTGTTTTTGTATTTAGTATTCTATCACGTTATGAATTTATTTTCGTCAAATATTCAGGTGGTTGTCCTTCAAAAATGAAACCATGAAAAAGTGGAGGCTGGCACTGTACTACAGGCATGTTGTTTATAAGGTTGCCTCTTCATTTAAAAGTTATGTGATTGAAAATTTTTCTGGTTGGAATGTTCTACTTGATTGGAAGCTGTCTATTGCTTTTCAAACATTCAATAATTTTTTTATAGACTTATTTATTTTATCTTTTTATTAACCGGTACATCATCTCATCCATTCTGCCATCCATCTATCCATCCAATTTGCCAATCATCCATTCATCCATCCGTTTTGCCACTCATCTATTCATCCATCTATCCATTCATCCATCTAACCATTCATCCATCCATCCATTCATCCATCCATCCATTCGTCCATCCACCCACCCACTCATTCATACATCCATCCATTCACCCATCTATCCATACAAACATCTATACATCCATTCATCCATCCATCTATTTATCCATCCATACATTTATACATACATAAATACATCAGGCTAGTCAATACTTTGATTCGATTGATTTGAAATTGAAAGTTGTAGATCTGTTTTCTCTGAAGGTAATGTTATAAATGAATGAATGAATAAATGAATGAGTGAATGAATGAATGAATGAATGAATGAATGAATGAATGAATGAATGAATGAATGAATGAATGAATGAATGAATGAATGAATGAATGAATGAATGAATGAATGAATGAATGAATGAATGAATGAATGAATGAATGAATGAATGAATGAATGAATGAATGAATGAACCAACGAACTAACGATTGAATGAATGAATGAATGAAGAAATGGTCAAAATTTTAGAAGTTCATTATTCATCACGAATGTCTCCATTAAATTTGTAACATCATTACATGTCGTTACACTTTCAACTCATTTCATATCATGTTTTTCATCCGAATTTTCACATTACATACATTTCTGAATATGTTAAATAAATATTTTAACAGTTATAACAATAATAATAATAATGAAAAAACAATATAAAATTATAAAGATAATTTAATACAAAATAATTGAAATATCAGAAAAAGAACAACTTTGTAAATGCACTGACGAAGGAAAAGGGTAGCCTATCTTGCGATAAAACTTTCCATAATTCAGTGCTCAAGTACCTGAAGGTCAAACTGGACGACATAAAACTTCTGATCGAAGAGGACCCGTTGAAAAATCGAGAGTTGCCGAAAATAAAAAGGCGGGAGGTTGCTTACGATGCTGCTATCATCTTCACAGGGTTGGTTCTTGGATACGTATATCTGTAGTGTCATGTATGTATATCTGTATCATGTATGTATATCTGTATCATGTATGTATATCTGTATCGTGTATGTATATCTGTATCGTGTATGTATATCTGTATCATGTATGTATATCTGTATTACACATATATTGGTTAAATCATAATTTCTTTTCAACAATTCAGTTAAATAATATTTGTAAAAATTCCTGTTAAAAAATTTTTCAAATTATGAGCAAAACTTTTAAAAAGTGAAAAGCTAATGAATGGCATGGCTAGCTCTTCAACGCCATCTTCCATGTGTGACAAGGGCCAGAAGCATGCCTTGGTTCGAGACGTTGGGCTTGGCACCACCTCCATTCTCGTGGCTGTGGAAATCGCAAACATGTTTGTGTATTATACACCGTTCTTCTGTTGTATCGAAGACATTTTTGTATCTTGTATAAATGCGATTTTGTATTATGCTTGTTTGTATATATGCTTGTTTGTGTATTTGTTTTAATATATGTTTGTTTTAATATATGTTTGTTTGTATATATGTTTGTTTGTATATATATATTTGTTTCTATATACACACACACAAATTTTATTTAATGATTTTTGTGTCAAAAAATGCCTATGCAACTTTGGATGGTTGAAATTGTTAACATGTTTATACATATGCATCGTTCATACAATACTTTTTGTATCTTGTATACAAAATCCAATTTGTTGTTTATACGGCTGGTTGTGTTTTTGCAGTTTGTATTGTCTTACGATCTGTACTTAATGCGATACGTAAGAAATGTTATTTGGCAATATATGCTCACACACAAATTTATGACCGATTTGTATAAAATTCAAGGTTAACAAGTAAGAACTCCGGTAAATCTTCCTGTAACAATGGCAAACGTTTGAAATTGTCTGAAATCAACGGTATGTCAAAGAAGGAGTTGGATAAATTTAGGGATGATTTTTTCACCAAGTGTCTCTACGATGAGTTGAAACGATCTTTGAAGGACAGGTAAGCTGCTTGTTCGTGAGTTGGCTGTCTGTTAGCTGGTCGGTTGGCTGGTTGTTAGTTGGTGATTGAAAGGTTGGCTGATTGATTATTTGGCTGGCTTTGTGTTTGATCGGTTTATTGATTAATTTTCAAATTTTAACGCTATATGAATGTTGTCTAGATCCGCCAATAGCTACATAAAGCATTACTTTCTATACTAGGTAGTAAATTTAACAAATACCCATGTTGTTAAGTGGTTCTCATTCGCTGTTTTCACGAAACAGAAGTTTCGATTGCACGAGAGACGTGTTTGAACCAGAAGGCAGAAAATTTAAATTCACCAACAAGACAAATTTCCATGAGAAGTATTTTGGGAGAATATTCAACAAAACCGAACAGTGCTGGTACCTCGCTGGTCCCACTTCGCATCCCTGTGGAAAGGTAGGTGCCATTTTTAATCGGCCAGTTTTCATCACAAATTAGTTAATTAAATAATTAGTTTTAATTAATTAATTTTTATATTAATTGTTTACTTTTTAACTTAAATTTAACAAATATTAATGATAAATGTTTTTATTATTTTTTAGAATCAATGTTCGTTTATAGCTGACTTTTTGTTATTATAAACGAAATTTTTGATATTTGGGAAGTTTATTTCGTTCAGGAAAGTATTATTTTGTTGAACTTCACAACTTCTTTCTCATCATCACCATCATGAACAAACTTTTTTATCATTATAATCACCAACACCACCATCCTCAACTTCATCATCACATACAGGGCACATGTGAGGCCTTGTACTGCCATATAGGGAAAGATTGCAGGACCCTAACACCTCCCTTAGACGGAACGAGCTGTGACCGAACCTTTCAGAAGGCCTGTCTCGATGGTCAGTGTGTAAAGTTCAATCCTAAAATTGTGTTCAAGGGAATGCCATATACGGGTTAGTAAACCCGTAAAATTTTGGGTGCTGGAAAGTTAGTCGAGATGGAGTGTGTATGTTTTGAAGTGTGTGTGTGTGTGACGTTTTGGAGTGTGTATTTTTCAATATGTGTTTGTTTTAAGTGGTGTGTTTTTGAAGTGCGTGTGTGTTTTTGAGTTGTGTTAGTGTGCCGGAGTGTAAGTGTGTTTTGGGATGTGTACTTTTCAAAATGTATTTGTTTTAGAGTGTGTGTGTTTTGAGTGTCTATTTTACAAGATATGTTTAGGGTGTGCGTTTGTATTTCGGTGTGTGTGCATGTGTTTTGGAATGTGTATTTTTCAAGATATGTTAATTTTAGGGTGTGTGCAATGTTAAAAAAGTTGTATTTATGAGCAAGTGAGTGTTTTAGGAGTATGTTTCAAGAGGAGTATATAAGGAAGAAAGTTTTGATAATTTTTCTGACTTAGAATGTACTAGAGACTACAAAAAACTTGAAGTAGGATGACTTTTTTTGTAAAATTTTTGCTGTTAAGTAAATGTGGTGATAGTTCTATTGTAAGCACTATTTAATTTGAAATAATCGAAATACGTTAGTTCGACGAAATAAAATTTACTGTTAAGCGATTAGCCATCATGGTGACGGTCTTATACATAAACTTTCATTGTTCGACTCAATTTGAATACGAAAAATGGCAATGAAGAAGAAAGCCAAAACTTTCTTATATTGTTTTTTAGTAAAAGTTTTAGAAATTGTTTAATTTATTTGAAAAACTAGATTTCGTAATAATGTTAAACGGTGCAAAACAACAAAAATTCTTTTGGCTTGTACATTTTATTATCGATTTAAATAACGATTTTTAATCAAACAACTTATCTAAATTCAAAAATTTGTATTCTTATGTTAATAAAAGATTGGAATTGTGAAATTATTCATTATGTCTTATATTAAAAGCAAAGTTGTTCTGAAAAAAATATTATTGCTTATAAGAAAATGGTTTGTAAAAGTTGGAACGGGAATGGTAAAACTGCAGTTCCTGATTTATCCCATAGGGATAAGAATAACTTTTACCTGGTAAAATTATTCCAGAGAAACGGAAATAACCCATTAAAGAATTAGCTTACGTAGTACAAAAATTATGAAATTTTGATATAAATTTGCTTCCATTATATTTAACGGTAAGTTTATGCTTTTAAAACGTAAAAGCTATTTTATACATAGTTCTTTTAAATTTTAATGCTTTGAGTTAATATGGAATTCAAAATTGAGTCGTAAAACGTGCATCATGGATTGGAAGTTTTGAATGGAGCAATTTAAAATTTGTTGGTTTCAAACAAGAGAATAATTTATAGAGGTCTAAATGAAAAGAGCAAGCCATTAAGCATGATGACCTACAACAGTCAATCACAACATGGATTTTTTCCATTTATCATTATTTTAGTTTTGTTGTTATTATTATTATCATTACAAATAATAATAATACCATAGCTAATAATAATGATAATAATATCAAATAACTCTTACGATTATTTCTTTTCTTATATTTCACCACAAACGTAGTCAAAAAAAAGTTAGAAGAAAGAGTCCTGGCAAAAATATTTTTTTATTTTTTTGCAATTCTCTCCTAATAACATATCCAACGTATCATCAAGTATTCATCACACACATTGCACGTGATAAGCGGGGTTCTCTTTGCATTCAAACCCAGTCACTGCTACACTAGGACCAGACACCCTAACCATTACACTATCCTGCTGCTCTAATACATTTTAAACAATTTTGTAGAATAATTTCAGCGTACTTCTTTATGAGAATAATGAATTAACCAAGAAATGTATGGTTAGTTTAAAAAATGTTACCAAAGCTTCCAACTCTTATGAGCAGAACATCTCCATTGACGTCACTTTTTACAAAAACTTGAATTATCATTTACAAATATTGCAATGTTGTTAAGGATGAGTGCAGATGTATTGATTCCAACTAACAACTGTAATATAATGTGTTTATTTAAACATAGATGCTGTGCTTTATAAGTCTATGAAATGTATATTATAACGTATGAATAGAATATTTCTGTGTGTAAAATTATCGGCGTCATGAATTTTTCTTTTAAAACTCGTGCTTACCTAATAAGGAAACACAATTTTAAAAATTGTCTATATTAAATTATTGTCTAAAATATTTGAATAAAATAAATAATCGCTTAAAATGCTGTTTTCAATCAATTTGATTTTGACTGTACAATTTCTCTGCCAAACGAACGCTCAAAGCGATGTAACTATCGGGAAAATGGCCAAAGAAAGTTCATTTAGTGGTCAGAACTCAGGTTTTTTGGCCATCGATGGTCAGTTGAGCCCGCCCTACTGTTTCGTGTCTCAAACATCTTGTTACCAGTGGCTTCAAATTGATCTGATATGGCTCTACAGAGTCGATGTTGTTCAGATTGTTGAAAAGTTCACGACAAGTGATTATATTTAAATTCTTTTAAATTCAGCAATAAAAATTTTGGTAAGTTCAAATTTTTAAACAATAATTAATAAATACGCTAAATTAAAAAAATTGAGATAATTAAACGCCTCTGAAACAGCTGTGCGAATCGGCGCTATATAAATGCTTATATTATTATTATTCTTATAAATAAATATTTAGATGAGTTTAATGTCCAGTTGATGGCTTCATCAATGAAAACAAATGCATCGTGTAAGAATATGACCAGTCAGCTGAACAACATCAACGTTACATTCCAGTGTCCGAACGCCACAGAGCATGCAAGCAGGTACATCAGCGTTCATCAGAACAGCATTTGCATTGTTAACATGAAGATCTGATCATCGAAGGTCAATATGCTGATGGTCAGTCGTGTTACGTATTATTAAATTATTTGTTGGTGCGTAACTTTAATGATGAAAATTAAACATAAAATAAAAGTCTGATTTGATCATTTTCAATTATTCCAGAAAGATTGTAGTATGAGCCCAAAGTTTTTAAAGTTAAATATAATTCATTGATAGCAATTATACTTTTCTTATAATTAGTTTTTGCATTGACCAAAACGTATAAGGTCATATTTCTGGTTTCAAAACAAAAACTTTTTCACTTCTTCAAATAAATATTTTCTATTTTTTAGAGGCGTAAAAGTTGCGGTTGTTATTATGAAGAGTTTTTCAAAAATTAATAGTATATTTATTGTTACCAATTGATAAGAGAGCATAATTTTATTTTCTCAGCACAACCAAAAAGAAAAAATCTTATCTTTAATAAGAACGCAACAATGAATTCATCACTGTTGGGTAACAACTTTTTATCCATGACTTTTGTACGAATGACCGCTGAGCTGATGGGATCGCGGATGTTTATGTTACTCATGGTCATTGTGCTCACACGGATGATGCTAGTCATGACAGAAACTTGATTCAAGTTGATATGGACAGCGATCATTTTGTTGATTATATTGCCCTTGTTAGCAGAGAAACATATAATTCTTATGGTAAACATACGTATTACTAACTTTTTGATCAGTGTTTTATTTTATTTGTAGGCAATGTTGAAAGTTATATAAGAACCTTTTTAATTTTTAGAATACAAAAAAGGTTATAATAATTTTTCAGTTTAAAAAAATTGTCTTTTGAATTCAGTTATTACCCGTTTGTCCAATTTCATCATCGGGCTAACACCATACAGCTCATCTTACGTCCCACCAACGAAGGGTGGGTACCCCCTGTGTGCAAGGTACCCTGGGGTTGTCCCTGTGGCTTCCAGAGTCACCCTTCAATGTAATGCCAACTTGCCTGCCTACCGTTACATCATCGTTCATCAGGCTTTTGGTGCTGGCAATGGATATTTAGCGGTGTGTGAACTAGAAGCTTATGAGCCTCAAATGAAGTTCCCAAATAAACGTTAGAATTTTTACATGAATATTTAGTCTTAAATTTTTAATCCAACGTGTTGTCTACTTGTATTTATTTTAATTTGAATAAAATGAAAAATTGCAAAATTCCAAACAAGAAAAGAAAAACAAGTAGATGAGTTCGTGAAATACAGAAGCATTGTTAAAAGCAGGAGAAAATGTGAATAATAAATCAGTGCACAAAAACTGTTTGACCAACAAAACACAAAATTATAAAGACCCGTGTGGTACTCAAATTGTTATGCCAACGCAAACATTCGAAAACGTAGAAGATAAACAAAAATAGATTAGAAAGTTTGAAATGAATCTCAAAGAAGGTACTTGGAGCTTTTGGAGTACTTGGAGTACTTGGATAGAAAAAACATAAAAGAAAAGAAAAGAAACCAGCTTAAAACAAAAAAATAGCTGAAAAAGTAAAAAAAAGCAAACTTTTTTTAACTTGTTAAATTATTTTTACATACACAGAAATCATATGGACACCATTTCAAAACTGGCAACTGTTGAACTGTTGAAAAAGTAAAAAAAAAGCAAACTTATTTTAACTTGTTAAATTATTTTTACATACACAGAAATCATTTGGACACCATTTCAAAACTGGCAACTGTTGAACTGTTGAAAAAGTAAAAAAAAAGCAAACTTATTTTAACTTGTTAAATTATTTTTACATACACAGAAATCATTTGGACACCATTTCAAAACTGGCAACTGTTGAACTGTTGAAAAAGTAAAAAAAAAGCAAACTTTTTTTAACTTGTTAAATTATTTTTACATACACAGAAATCATTTGGACACCATTTCAAAACTGGCAACTGTTGAACTGTTGAAAAAGTAAAAAAAAAGCAAATTTTTTTTAACTTGTTAAATTATTTTTACATACACAGAAATCATTTGGACACCATTTCAAAACTGGCAACTGTTGAACTGTTGAAAAAGTAAAAAAAAAGCAAACTTTTTTTAACTTGTTAAATTATTTTTACATACACAGAAATTATTTGGACACCATTTCAAAACTGGCAACTGTTGAACTGTTGAAAAAGTAAAAAAAAAGCAAACTTTTTTTAACTTGTTAAATTATTTTTACATACACAGAAATCATTTGGACACCATTTCAAAACTGGCAACTGTTGAACTGTTGAAAAAGTAAAAAAAAAGCAAACTTTTTTTAACTTGTTAAATTATTTTTACATACACAGAAATCATTTGGACACCATTTCAAAACTGGCAACTGTTGAACTATACGTTCATGTCTCTGTCAGCTGACAGACCAGCACAATGCGTCGTTCAGTGCTTCAAATTGGGAGACTACTCATGTGATTCATTCAACTTCAACTTTCAAATAAAAACATGCCAACTCAACAGACACAGGAATGGTTACTCAACTGGAAATTTCATCAGGAATTGGTCGTGGTCCTTCTGGAATGCCACCTACTTTTACACTGGGAATCTCTAACTCTTTGATCGCTGTGTGAAATATTTACATTCCCGAAAGATAGTTAAGATTACCAAAAAAATTTGTCAAAAACGAGAGAAATTTTTCCAGTCACTTCTCCGAATACTCTCAGTAGTTTCACACTGCAACGTGATGCACTATGTATGATACCATGTTTCTCTGTATACTCTATTAATTATTTTCTCCGTGATCAGTAATTTTAATAGTTGAGTTAACTTTAATATGATAGGTTCATTATTTTAATGGTTCTTATGTGGATGAGCAAATGCTTTTTACGCGCTCATATTTGTTATATTATCGTATAACTATTAATAATTCGTTCATTATGTTTGCGCACAACATCATTATTATTTGAACTGCATACATTAGTTAGACATTTTTATACATTCAAAGATAATTTAACTATTGGTAGTGTTTACAATGAAATAAAATTATTTTGAAATATTTTTCGGGAGAAATTTTTATATTAAAAATATGAAGATTTGTAAATCTAATATGCTATTCACGCTAACCCACCAAAACGGAAGTTTACCACTCATTAATGTTTTTTTTTAAATCAGCTGAGTTTAAGATTAAACTCAGCTGATTTTAAAATCTAAAAAAAATTTTTTTTTAAATTGAAATGTCTACATTTAATATCAAAAAACTGAAAACAATTCGACACATTGAGTGTATCCGTTCAGCTTCAGTTTAATATGTTAGTAGTTAGATTTCATTAATAAAGTGAAATTGTATTGTCAGTTGAAGTTTATAAATCATCAGTTTTTCTCCAACTGCATTTAAGTTATCTTGATGAAAACTTTTGCTTTATGAGTTGAATTTGAAAAAACGGATATTGAAACAGGTCATGAAATACTTAACTCAAGCATAATTAACAAATAACGCCCTCTTTTTATTATATTTACAAAATATAAAATGTCACCGTTTAAAATGAAATTTAACTCTGATGCAGAATATTTAAAAAGTTATTTTTCAGCAAGTCTGGAAATATTTTGCCGGTAAGAAATTTTGAATGGCTCCGATGAGACCAAACTATTTTAAGTGGCCAGTTTTTCCATTTTAAAAAGTCTAACTGATAATCCTTGATGCTGTACGCATCGTAGTTTCTGTCTCGGAAAAATCTGCAAGAATGAAAAAATTTTGTTTCAAATTTGTCGAACATCCATATTTTGTAATAGTTGAAATTTATTCACACACAAAGCAGAAGTAAAACAACGGTTTCTAAATAAAAAATTATTCCGGAAACTAACTTTAAAACCAGTTTGACTCGTTTGTTATTGGAATCAAACATTTCTAAAAACTTGAAAATTCCAAACTTAACGGGCCAATCCATGATAACGAATATGACATTATGGAGATCAAAAAAGTTATCTGCATGCAAAAATATCCCGTGCTCGAAACAGTTCACGTCAATTTTCAACACCACCTTTTGTTTTCTGAGAACATCAAGAAATTGTGGCGATGAAATTTTTTTTTCATAAAAAACTTTATGGTTAGCTGATAATTTTTGGAAATGATTCGCTAACAAGTGACCCAAGTCATTCATGGTGATCGTCTTCGCAGGGAATGAACACTCACCTACGCACTCACTTTCCTTTTTGTTAGGATTAAGATGTTTGTTAGTATTATTTTTATGTGTTTTTGAAAAATAGGAAAATAATTTCTCCACTGTTTAAAAAAATTAAAATGGAAGTTTGAAAATGAAGTAGTACACCCTTTTCATTTAAAAATAACACATACCAGTAAATTCGATTCGTCATTTCTAAGAGTGAACAACCCGCTGGAAGGACCAACAGCATTGTGCAGCATCAACACAGATTCGTTTAGCCCATTGATTCTCAATGCTTTGTTCAGTCTACGTAGGTTACCCCAAACTGGATCAACTGCTACAACCCAATGTCCTTGCTTTGCTGCCAGTAATGTGAAGTAGCCTGTTTAAAGACGGAATGGCTGGAAAACATTTTCTCTTTAAAAAAATTTAAATGCTAGGAAGGTAAATGTAACAGACTCTGTAAATCGTAAATAAATCAAAAATTATTTCGAAATATTTTTGAAAAAATGAATGAATAAAAATTTCAATGAAAACTCAGCAACATCTAAACAAAATCATTTACCTATGTTCGCTCCGACGTCCACAAACACAAACAATTCATTTAGCTTCAATAACTGTCAAATTTAAACGACAATATATTTATTTTCAATACTAAGGTTCTAAAAATAAACTTAACTGTCGATCACATGTTAAAATTACGAATTATACAGACTCGGCGTGTAGAAATTCGTTACCTTACTAAAAAAAAAACGTATCGGCCGTTTAAAGTTGAAATAAAGTGATCAGATAAAAATGGCTAACTCAAAAAACCTGAAACATCTTTAAAATTATTTTAATTTCAGTTACAAACCTCAATCAACAGGGAAGACGATTCTAACTGCCAGAACCCATGGTCGTGAATGGACTGAGATATGCACACATTATTTCGCAGGGGGTAGATACAGACAGAAATTGTCGGAATGGTTTTCGTTTTCATGCATTTATATTGTTCATCACCAGCGTTGTAATAGCTAGAGTTTAAAATGCTGATAAAAGACGAGGACGAATCTCTGTCGAACGCTTGGATGTTTTTAGATTTAGTAGAAATAGAGGAGCTTTGGAAATATTTCAAAAAGTGAAATGGAATAAAATTCCTCTTTGAAATAAATAATCGAATCAAAATAAAAATCACAATAACGAATGTACATTTAGTTTTGAAACTCATTTTCATTTACCAGCTGAAAGCCGTTAAAATTTTGTTTACTTTTTTGAATTTTGAATTTGTTTATGGTGGCAAGCATGGATGGCAAATATTCTGTCGCCAAGGGAAACGATGGCAACATTCGTTCGATTAGACCGATTATTATATGTATTTATATTTTTTTGAACAATGCGGACGAATTGTTGCATTTATTAAATTTATTGAATTTAAAATCACAATTAAACTAATTAAATTATATAAAATATAGTTTTTATTCAAATTAAAAATTATAGCGACAGCCATATTTATTAAAATTTGCGAAATTGATAAAACCAATTTTAAATATAAAACTTCGATAAAAAACACTATTATTGCATACAAACAGTAAGCTGATAAAAATACAACTCTCTTGTTCAACGTCTTGTACAATAAAAATACGTGCGAGTGAAGTTTTGTAAAATACCTTCTTGCCGAATTGTTTTTTATTATAAAGTTAAACGTTATTTATAACTCAAATAATGATTTGATTGAGATAAATGTAATTTTTACGTTACAAAATTCAAATTTTAAACTTCCTTTGTGCGACAATATTCGTAACGTTGTGCTGTTAAAGAAGAAACGTAGGCCAGGATTTACAGTCTCAAACAGGCTTCTATTTTAAAAAAAGCATTCGTAGCAATGCAATGTTTTGAATAAAATTTCAAAATTTTATGAAAAAAATAACTAATACTCACTAAAAATTAAAAAAATTAATAACTTCTTTACGAAGTTATCACTATTTACATTTTGTACATGTAACAAGATACATGGGATGCATTGCATCATCAAATCCTTTCCTTCTCGATCAATCAAATTTTTGACAATTCTTTTAGATGTATTGATTGTTCGGCTGAATGTTAATCTCACTGATGAACTCGTTAATCATTTTGTCGATCAGCGTTTTGATCATATCGCCGGTGAGTTTGCTGATTTGCAGTATTATCTTTTCCTCGAGTAGCAGTTTGTTCAGTTGTCTGTTGAGTTGGTTGATTAGGGCTTTCCACATCTGCTTTATCACCATATCTATTTCATAACTCTCTAATTCGCTGGCTATCTTAATAACAGCCTTTTTCAGCAACAGTTTTTGGTAGATTGCCAGGTTGACGCACATGTTCTTTTCTTGATCTTCCATCAAGTTTTTCAGATGATTGCAGTTTGGCTTGCTGTGTTGGGACATTCTAAGAAACATTTGTATATGTCTCTCTTGAACTGCTTTTTCAACCAACTCAATGACTGAATTTTTTGCTGACGTTTGGTTTGACATTTTTTGAAAATTATTTGGTGAAATATCAATTCAAAATATTATTTCAACTTACTGGATGAAAAATTGAACACGATGTATCACTACGAGATTGACAAACTGATGAAGTTACGGTGGCTTCATTCCCTTATATAGACATTCAAGCAAACACCACTCAAAGAACAAAGTTCCTTGGTTTATCAATTAACAGTTTGCATAATTTACCACTTTGTTAGAATATTCCATTTGCTTTTAATTCCTGTGTTCTTCAATTATCACTTGGCAGATAATAATGACTTTGATCGACAACTTTAATCTGAAATTAAGGTTTACGACTTTGTAATAATTTTACTTAGTAAATCGACCTCACTTAAAGTAAAAGTTAGTTTATTGGTATCGGTCAAAGTTTGAGTCATAATTTTAATTATGACTCAAACTTTGATTAAGACCGAAGGGCTGAAATTATATATTTAAATAATTGCAATAACTCTCATTAACAGAAAATTTAAATAATGGTTAAAAGAGAAAAAGGGAGAGAGACAGAGAGACGACGAACAGAAACTTTTGAAATTGGCAAAAAGAATCAAACCGCAAATTACACACACACACACGCACACACACACATATATACTCATATTTAAATAACTTACATGTGTTTAGTCTAAGTGTGCGTGGTGTGTGTGGATGTGTGATAATGATGAAATAACTATCGTTTATAATTTCAGTACCCACTAACAAAATGTGTTGATCTCGAATTAGAGAATACTAAATCGCTTTTTTAAATATCTCCGTGGAGTCCGTGCCATTTACATTTTAACAATGATTTTAACAATGATTCCTACAGGCTGTAGCCTATATAAGAATTTAGCATATGTGATTAAACCAATTGCTAAAGCTGAATAACAATAAAATCACGTGTTAGAGTTAAAACATCGTACCAAAATTGAAATTAAAATCATGTGCTGAAGTTAAAATCACGTGCTGAAGTTAAAATCACAGATTTTTACAGTACGCAATGAAAAACAAAATACAATAAACAGAAATAGAAACAAAACAACGACAATTAATCTTCTAGGTTTCTAAAATTGAGAAATTATTAGTTGTTCCGCATGATCTAACATTTTGACTCAAACATACCCGTAGCGGTAGCGATTTCATTTTAGCTTCAAAAGTTGTGCCGCTACCAATATCGCTGCTGTTCAACAAATGTAGCGAAGCTAGCGCTATCGATTTTTAAAATTAGCTCCATTGCCGCTATCTAACAAATTCATTATCAGAGCAGTTGTTTTTGTTAATCCGCTAATTATAATTTACGGTAGTGTCTAATGGGGTTAAGTTTGCTAGGCATTAAGTTGAATCGTTGATGTATTATTGTTATTTATACTAGACTCTACGTTTTGTAACAAATCTCTAATTGGTACATTGAAGCTTCTAGTAAATCGTAATAAAACTCATTCAAATTTACTGCCGCATCAAGTACAAATTTTATTTTGAAAATGCAACCTAAATGACCTAAACAGAGAAATGTAACACACATAATAACGTGTCTGTTAGTAACGCGTGCAATACAGTGCATTGGAGTTTAACGAAACATTTAGAAGAATTGTGCAGACATCTAATTTTTAATGTTATGGGTTTAGAAATGTCTATTTCAAAAATAGTTTTTTTGTCCAATTCAACGCATGACGAAAAAATGAAAGTCAGCGATTTCCTCCGGGATAATAATAGGTAGCATTCCAAAATGTCCAGTTTTTGTTGGATGCAAAATTTCCGATCTGAAAGCCGTTCCTGTGACTGTTTAGTTGGCAGACGTTCAGTTGCTTGTTGAAGTTGATCGAGTCACATTGGTACAACCCCAGTTTTATGCACTGGACGATGCACGACATCGGTCTCAATGCAGGAAACTCCAAGAAGGTATAGCCAACCAATTGATGATCTTGTCTTGAAATCCACACTTTTTAGGAAAATTAAATTAAAATCGGAAAACATTTGCGATTGTTTGAATTGATACATATTTCTACTCTAATTCTTGTAAAAATTGTAGCGCAGAAAACTTTGATTATTTAAAATAAAGCAATTTCATTCCAACCTTTGCTAAAACTTGATGGTTCATAAACTTCCAGTTCACAGACAGTTAAATGTCCATCCGAGATTCCGTACGCCTGCTGCACGATGACGTAACGGTAGGCGGGCAAGTTGGCATTGCATTGAAGAGTGACTCTACGGTTTCTCGGAACAGCCCCAGGGTAGGTGTTGCACAGGGGGTACTGACCTCTCACTGGTGCAACATCACTGGCGTTGTATGGGGTCAGTCCGATGATGAAGTTGGTTGAACGAACTAGAACTTTATTTATTTTTTTAATTTTATTTAATCAAGTTTAATAAATTTAAAGAAATAATTTATAATATTAATTTTAATATTTTTCATTTTAATTAATTTAACTTAGGAACTGGATGCCAAATGCTTGGAGTGCCATAATTTTTCAATTCAAAAAATTGTTGCACGATTTATAAAATAATAAACTGATTTCCAAACATTTATGTGGTTTGGAGGACTCTAGCGCAAATAATGTGATAACTTTTCATTTTTCAATTAAAAATAAACCATTTAAAAGGTGGCACAATAAAAATTCTCTAAACGTTGAAAAATCATCCCATGGATTAAATATAAATTTTTATAATTCTATCAGTAATTTGTTTTTGCGACTGATGTAATTCTACGAATCATTTTGCTTTGCTTTAAAAGTGCCTTAAAAGATAGCCCAACATAATTTGTTCTACGTGAAGGTAAGTTTTACCATTGAGATATTTTTCCTTGTTATATTCATTTTCATTTGCCAAAAATCACTTTTCCTAAATATAAAACCATAAACTTTTTCAGTAGCCCAAAAGTTTCATCTAACCAAAATCAAGTGGTGTATCTCTGTTAGTGAAGGCGATGTAGTCGATGTGGTGATTGCCGTCCATGTCCGCCTGAATCCAATTCGGACTTGTCCCAACTTCAGAAGTTTGCACACAATGACCATGCAGTGGTGTGGTGTCTCTTACTCCATCAACCATGAACGTGGAAATCATCTTGAATGCTTTCAAAGTTAGACTGTTGGTCGCCGGATATTCGGAACTCGAGAGGCTCATTTTCTTCAATACGAGATTTGCTTTACGAATTGAAACTGTTAGGAAGATAAATATTTTTCAGTTATGTAATTTTTTTTATTTTATCGATAAGTTGAAAATATAAAAAGTAAATTTATCGATAATTAATGAGAAGTTTGTTGATCGGAGAATAATTTATCGAACCATCGGCAAATTGACCATCAACAACCACTTCACAAATGCTCAAAGTGTCGACAGCATTGGAACTCTGATCGATGCTGATGTACCTGCTTGAATATTTGCCAGTGTTCGGACACTGGAATGTTACGTTGGGGCTGTTCAGTTGACTGGTTAGATTGTTGCATGAGACCAACGTCACAAGATTTTCGTTGGTCAGTCTGATGTTCACGACTTCTGAAAAAATTAAATAATAGAAAAGTCTTATTTATGAAAAGTTTAATTAAGATTTTTTTAGATTCCAACAATTACAACAGTTTGAAATTAAAATATGAATAATTTCTTAAACATATGTGAAAATAAAACAAACTCGTTAACTGCTTCCCATAAACGTCAATCAAATTGACATGAAACAGCCAGATGAGATCAATTTGAACCCACTGATAGCCAGACGTTTGCGAGGTAAAGCAGTACGGAGGACTGAGCAACCCATCGACCACCAGGAATCCAGTATATGGAGATGAGAATGAACTCTCCCTAACAATTTTGCCCAACGCCACGTTTTCCTGACCGACTGCTAAATAAATGCTACCAAAAAATAGAACAAAAACTCTTAAAAACATGTTTATTCGTTTCAATTTCTAGCTGAAAAACATTATAAAACAACAGCGTTAAGAATGTTAAAATGTTTCAGGTGACACAACAGTCAAATAATAAATGATGTATGAATATAATGAATTAGGAATTTTATAATTTTGTTCTATTTTTTAAAATTTTGATTATCATGTAAATATATAGATTAGGGTAGCATATTAGAAAAATCTTTCTCGTCAAAACAAATAATGAAAATCATCTAGACTCCACCGCTTGCCACTCCTTCAATCCAACTACGCGAAGAATATCACAGAAAATATGATGTTTTCATAACTTTTATACGTTACTAACACTAAAATTCATTTCCACCAAGCTAAAAATGATTTTTCAAAATTATTAATTGAATATCGGTTGGAAATTTAAGTGAAGTTTAATTTTAAAAATTTCAAGACTTGTGAACAAAAATGAAATAATAAGAAGCGAAATTTTCAATGGATGATTCTTCGCAGATCTACCCCGCCTATGTCTTTTGTTTTCTGCTTCTCCGTTGTTGAAGATGTCATGTCATGGTGTGAAACGTGTCATTTGGGATCTTTTAATTACTAGCAAGACAACAACAGCCATCTGAGCAAAATTTATTCAGACATTTCTTTTCGGTCGTCAAAATTTTGTTTAATAAAAATGCTTTTCATTTAGCAAAAACACATGTACAATAGAAAAAAACAAATTCTCGTTTACAATTTGGCTGTTTAAACGATGTTAGCAAAATAAAATATGTAGGTACCTTCAAGTACTTACGTGTTCAGTCAATTTTTGTGTTATTGTTCAAGACAAAAATTATTATATTATATTATTTAAAAAATTTTATTATTCATTTCCTACAAAAATACTTGACGCATAAAATTTTCACTTCTTAGAAGAAAATTTGAGAATTTTTTCGTAGAAAAATTGTTCTTTTATGAATTATTTCTACGTCTTGTGAGAAAACTATTAATTTTGACAACAATATTTTTCGCCGAGAGTTCGTTCTTCCGTGAAATAAACAAACTATTTTATTATCTATTCTTGAAAAATTAATGAACACTCGACGTTTAGTAATTTGCTCCTCGATATCAGTATCATATCATCATGATATCATATCATCAAATTATCATTATATCATATCACCATCAAATCGCAATATCATTGTCATATCATCATCATCATCTCGTTCGTTTGTTCATTCACTCATTCTTACATTCATTTCTCATTCATTTGCTCATTCATTCGTCCAAACATATGAAAATGTTTTCTTGTTAGGGGTGCAATTTTTTCGTCAGATTATAATAATAAGTAGAAACTCAACCCGGCGCCCGTTTAATAAAATTGTCAAATGAATTTTCTTTACAAAAGAGATTTTATCAATTTCAAAACAATTATTTCGTTATCAAATAAATTTTAAATTTTCTTAAAATTAATTTAAATGTGGAACAATTTTTTTAAATTGTAATTAATCACGAAAATTTTTTGATTCGACCTTATAAAATCTAAGCGCATCATCCATCATTCTTAATTTAAAATTTACTCGCTAGAGTAGTTTAAAATTAAAAAAATATGATTTTTTATTATTGTTAAATTGTATCACAATTTTTTAATAAAAAGTATTTCACTGAAACATTTATTATCAATATAATTATATATTAAAAATTTTTATTAAAACACCCGAAACAGCAGAAATAATTTATAATATTAAAATATACATTTGTCGCAAAACCTTCTAAAAATGCTTTGAAAGTATGTGCTTCGTCTAGCAGACAAGTGATTTTACTTTTCAGAATTTTTTCCACTTTCCATGTATGTGATTTTGTTTCGAGAAAAATTATTTCAAGTAATGAGAAAATTAATTTGGAACAGTCCTGTTTTGAAACAAATTTCGTTTTAATCGTTGTATTTGTTTACTTAGTTGTTTTCGATTTTTCAAAACAAATTGTGGGCGAAGGGTTAATTAAGTTAAATATTTCAATTTGATTATTCGAGATATTCGTTTTTAAGTTATTAGGGAAAAAAGCAGACAGTAAATTTCTGCACAAAACTTCCAAAAGAGCTCACGGTCACGGGTTGGGATAGAAAGAAGTTAGTAGTTGTTAGAAGTAGAGAAAAAAATTAAGATTAAAAATTATAATAAATTTAAATAATTAATAAAAATTATCCCTATCTCTTCTTATTTAGATAACTACTTGTTTAGTTTTTAAATCATTTGATTTGATTTAACCTTTAACGTTTAACCATCACACTAATTCACATATTTTATAATTTTAAATTTGATTTTATAATTTTACATTGTAAATATTACTTTTTAGAATGTTATTAGAAAGCTGAAACTGTTGAAAATTCAAATTCATATTATAATTTAAAATTTCATTTATTAATTAAATGAAATTATAATTAATTATAGTATAAAATAACTGCTATATTATAGTACCAAAATAAGATAGATACTCTTGATTTGGCTTTTAAATGAAAGCAAGATATAAAAAAATAACTTTTAAAACTAAAAAGTAAGAAATGATTGTCGATTGTGGTTGTCTGTATAAAAAAGAACTAATCTTGAAAGTGAAAAATAGTTATGAAATTAACCTGTTGTTTAATAGCACTTTATGGTAAACTTATCTTAAAATGTAGAAGCATACTTCTTTATATATCAAACACACAATGCCCACATGGTTTTATTTTTATTTAACAATATTAAAAAAAATGTTCCATTATACTTTATAATATTGTAAATATATTTTTTTTAACTTTTTTATGAAAAGACATCAGAAAACATATTTAGCGAAGGCGAAGGCTGTTTTCACAAACTGATACCTATCTATCATAAAAGCAAGCATTAAGAAACCCTTTGAAGTTTTTTCTATATATTTATTTATTACGGAGACTTTTGTGTTTTTTTTTTCATCTATATGATCATAATCACAATAAATTATGTTAGTTAGAGTTATGTAGTTCAGTTTTATTATTATTATTTCATTTTTACTCTTCAATTTCAGCATTTTTTAAAAGTTTGATTGATATTCGATGAATTGACTAATTAATTATTGAAGTAATTAATTAATTAATTTAAAAGTTTTTCTGTTCTTATTTGGATTAATCTAATGTTACTCAATGTTGTATAGCTTCCGCTGTTAGTGTTAACGCTTCTATTGGCTGATGTTAGGTTGGTCATGGGTATCAATTTTTTATTACGTACTTAATTAATTGTGTCAATCATTGATTAATTATGAATTATTAATTAATGTCTTTGGTTTATCATAATGATTAATTGATATTTTAGTTGTTAATTATTGATTTTGAAATTAATTATTGAAATTGACGTCATCTTCCTTATTTTTCCATTATTGTTAAGATATTAAATCAACATTTTGAATATTTTTTCATTTTCAGAGTAACTCTTGTTGAGAAATTAGATTTCAAACTAAATTTTTAAAGTTAACTTCCAGAGAAATGAATTTTTCATCATAATTGTTGTAGCTCTTTATTTGTTAACCTTGTAACACAAGAGATTTCATCTCCAAATCATCTGATAAAAATTACAATGGTGATGTTGATATAATGTGTATGATTATTATGGTTGGTGAATGTGAATGATGAGGATAATGATGCAGCTGCTGATGCTGGTAAAGATGATGATGAGGTTGATGATATGATGATAATGAATGATTACGTTAGTAAGAATGATTAAGTCAAAAAATAGAAATGTTGAAGATGATGATGAAGATGATTGATGATAAAATGAATAATAATAATGATGAAGAGTTTTATACAAAACAAAATGCATGAAACATTAGTTATAAATTCAAAATTTTCACCATGCATTCCTGATAAGAATGAATCATGAAATGTTTTTTCTAAATATGTGTGTTTACATTCTTTTTTTCTGCCTAATGCATCTTTTTAAGCTCTTATCTGTCATGTGTTTTTTTGATATCATGATGTGATATCAAAGGTTGAAATTTGCTACATCTAAATATGTGTAAAAAGATTTGTTCATTCTGAAATATTATTTTTTATTCATATTTTTTAGTCTTGTTAATGAAACTTTGCATCTTGTTATTTGCAGAAATTATGAAATTTTAATTTTAAGACTTGGTAAATTAATTATTTCTTTACTTGACTAACTTTTTTAAAAAAAATTTGTGTTAGTTGTGAGAGATTACACTAATCCGTTGCATTTAGACTCAATTAATTTCAACATTGTATTGCAATTTTAATTTGATAAGTTCAGAATTATTTGTTGAAAGTTTAACTTCTTTCTCCCTCTCTCTCTCTTTCTTTCATTCTCTGTCTCTGTCTTTCTCTCTCTCTCTCTCTTTCTCTCTCTCTCTCTCTCCTCTCTCTATCTTTTTCTGTTAGAACAACTAGAAAAAGCATGTACAAGTGTAGGAATGTTTACTTTTATCAGTTGTGTTGCATGGATGAGTAGCACGATAGTATAATGGTTAAGATGCTTGGCACTGGTGTTCCAGTGACTGGTTTCAAATACAAAGATATCCTCGTCTTTCACATGCAATACATATATGATGCATTGACTCACGTGCGTTTGCACTGCACAGTGTGTTTATATTGTTGTTGATGAATCTGAGTTACACTGAAGAGAAAGAGTGGAGAATGAGTGGCGTACATTAATTGCTCTTTCATCTATATTTGTTGATCGTTTAGGTATTTATTTGCTATTGATCATAGTGTTAATCACCTTAGAATGTTGTCTCTAATGACATTCATTCAACATGCATTATAAAATGTATCTATGACAGATTCTATGTATAATTATAGTGTAAATAAAATGTGGTTCTGCGTGTTTGCCTATTCTTTTTAATAATTCTTTTGTTATTTGGGTTATATTTTGTTTCAAATTTTATATTAATTATGCTTTATTTTGCTAGGGGTAGATACAAAGTCCTAACTTATCCTTATATATATATAATTTATGTGAGATTTTTTTAAAAAAATATAAGTGTCAGCTTGTGTTAGCGTTAATACGGTAGAAAATTTTTAATAATGATTGTTAACAATTTCCGTAAATTTAATTTAATGTTACTTTAATATGGTGTGGAATGTTACATGCATGAATCATGCGAGAGGAGAGAGAGAAAGTAGAGAGAGAGAGAGAGAGAGAGAGAGAGAGAGAGAGAGAGAGAGAGAGAGAGAAGGAATTCTTGCATCATTGCAAAAATTCCACTATTTAATTTAAATTATTTAATTAAACGGAGTAAATTTTCCGACGTCATATTTGCAATAACTGAATAATTATCCCAATGTAGCAGTGTAATTGTCAGAGGCATTTCTATTTTTTCTAGATGATAAATTTTCTTATTGAACTTGTAAACTAATATCATTATTATCATCATCATCATCATCATCATCAATCTGACGTCATCTTCATTATCATCATCGTTACCATCTTTGTCATCACCACCGTTATTATTTATAATTCGTCGTCATCAAAAAAGTGTGACATCATCACCATCATTGTCATCAGCCCAACATCTTCATTATCGTCATTCCCATCCTCAACATTCTTATTATGTCATCATCATCATTATTATTATTTTCATCATCTTGCCATAATCGACGTTCACTTTTCATCATTATGATCATCATTCAAACCTCATAAGATTATCACCAACAGTTTGGCAACATCTAAAAAAATCATCAAAGTACACCAGCTTACTCTCAAACTCATTTCAGAAATTTTTTATATTATCATTTCAGGGTCCATATATCAAATTTCAAAGAAAGATTTTTTTCGAATTATCACCAACAATTTTGCGATGTTATAAACTGCTACAACAATACTAACAACAACAACAGCATCAACAACAACAGCAGCAACAACAGCAACATCAACAACGAAATCATCATTACTTTTTCCATGTAATTTATTGTTGTGACATTGACACTTCCAACAGTTACATTTTATCCTGCTGTAACGGCTTCAGTAACGTCCTAAACTACCAAGATAACCTCTAAAAAACGTCATCAAAATTTGTTAGTAGATACAACTTTTGACCATTTTTCAAAAAACAACTACATTTAAGGCTTAAGCAACTACTACAACGTTATTTTACTCTGTGACAACAACAGCGACAGCATTATAATACATTACTCCAGAATAATGACAGCAATAGAAAAAACAAATCTACAGACTTAAACTGGAAGTTAACCGGAAAACTGTACTAAAAATCTCAACAACAACTACATTATTAACTACGACAACAACACTAACTTGAAAAGATCATCAATCGTGTCAACGACATCAACAACAATAGCAATTCTACATGCCGCGACTATACAACAACATTAGCAACAACATCCACTACGTTATAAAGGACTAAAATTTTAATAAACACCGACAATAACGTCTTCCATATATATTAATACATTAACCAAATGCTCACAACACCATAAAAATAGTTGACCAAACAAAAACATCTTCTACATCATCTTAGTGACCAAACGACAACGTCATTTGCATCATCATTCTGACCAAGCAACATGAACACAGGGAACAGCAGTCACAACAACACAATGGAAGCTTCTAACATATCTCGTCTGGTTGTGAGAGAACAAAAACTAGGACACAGAAGAGTTGACGATGAAGGACAAGTCACCTATAAACATGTAAGTAGGTAGCAGGTGGAATGGTTGAATTGTTAGAGGCGCCTGGTTCTGTGTTATACAGTGATCAGGTTTGAATGCAAAAAGTTCTCTGTCAGTGACATGCTCAAGTGTTTGATGTGTTTGTTATGGTGTTTGATGTTTTCTACTACTAAACATTGCATAAGAAAGAAGAACCATTGCATTTTTTTTGTGTTATGTGCATGTAAATTTCTTACGAAAATATGGGTAGTAATTTTCATACTTTTTTTTCATTAAAGTGAAGAAAATTATGATTGAAAAGATTGTGACAATCTAATAATCACAGGACAGCCTTATTGATGTTTATTACGGAAACTATTGTAATTATTCATCTGAAAACAATCCTCTTTTACTCTTTTTAGTTGGTTGTGTCACTTTGCTTTTGTCAATTCGATTATTATTTTCTAGCTTTGAACATGGGGATCAAAATTAATTGTTTAGAAAAAATAAGCTCGTCTCAGCCGGTATGATCATTGAATCAAATGCTATTATTACATTACTGCTATTGCATGTTTTATGACGTTTGCAATTAGTTTTTATTATACTGAAAGTTTTATTGGATAAGTTCAGGCATTCGATTGTTTAAATCACAGTTATAGTTATGTAATTGAAAAATAATCAAAAATATTTTAGTACTCTAACAAATTTAATTGCGAATTTTTAATTGAATTTTTTTTGTGATGATGAATTCTATAGAAACCGACTTCAGAACTCATGTCCGCCATTCAACTGGGCATTGGGCAGAGTATCGGTGGATTGTCGCCAAAACCGAAGAGAGATGTTCTTTATGGAGATTTCGATGTCGTCGAATCCATTTTCTTCCCGAGGTAAGCTCTAGTTTTAACCGTTTTTCTGTTGGTTTTCTGTTTTATTTTGTTTCTGTGACAAATGTAAGCAAGGTTGAAGATTGTAAAAAGTTTGCTATCCATGTGCATCACTGAATTATTTAATTATTATAAAAAATATTTTTCAAGTCTGACAATTTCGCGATGAACAAGTTTTTTTTATCAACAAAAAAGTGTTTTCTCTGAATTAATGAATTCACAACGTACGAAACCTGAGTTTCTATTTTTAGTGATTTTGGATTTTCCAGATTTTCAACCTATTCACGCATACTTCATACTGTAACATCCGACGTTACGCACCTGAAAACACTCAATCTCAATTGATAATCGTATATATATATATATATATATATATATATATATATATATATATATATATATATATATATATATATATGTATATACATATGTATATATATATACACCTATATTCAGGATTCAGACTATCAGATAAGCAGTTGTTTAGAAAAGTCACAGCATTTTCGGCGTTACTTAATTTTCTATTTGATTTTTGAATCTTTCTTACGATGAATTTCAGTTGATTGTTAAGTTTATTTAACTCACACACCAAATTAGTGTGCATTTTTAAAACAGAGAAGCTTTTTTCGGAAATTCATATGAATTCATATGATATATATAATGCTTTTAAACATTTTTTGACAGTGACAGTGATAATTTGTTATAATTTGTTTCAATGTATTTCAATTATTTTAATTTATGCCAGTCAAGATTTAACACAAAACCGACAGTTTCTTATAAACACGTCTATATAATGTATACAATTGTATCGTATCGTATCGTATCTATATAGAATAATTAATATAAATGTCTAAATCGAAATTAGTAGACATGAACGATGTTCCACAGAATGTTCTTGGAATAATTTTTTCACATTTGGACCAGGGAGACAGGTTTAGAGCTTCTCTCGTCAACAAAAATTGGTGCTACGTCTTTAATAATTCATCCAACTTATGGAAAAGCTTTAACTTCCAATTTCTGGAATATGATAAACTACACTACGTGCGGTGCTTGGATGTCATTGGAAAATTTATTCGCAATTTATACATTGAGCTCGATACTGATATTCCAGATTGTAGAAAGTCTGCTATCCATGTGATTAATTATTTTGCTGGGCAGAACAAACGACGTATCATGGCGTTTAAATTAAATTTCATAAAGCCACGTTATTGGTACGATGCATGCAATGGTTTCAACGAAGCTTTAAATAATCTGTTAACTTTACCAGTAAATAGCGGTATAAATTACGTTTCGTTAGTTGAGTTTGAATTATCTGGTTTTATCTCTAGCTTTAATCAAGAGTTATTTAATGTTTTAGTTGAAAATCACAACAAAACGCTTAAAAAACTGTACCTCTACAACTTGTTTATGAGGAATGATATAGACGATTATCTTTTAAACTTTATGTTATCCAATTGTCACCAGTTGACACATTTGGGCCTCCCTGGCCACACTATCGATGATGAGGTCGTGTCCGCCCTTACCCATCCCGAAGGTCGCCAGAAATTAAAAAAGCTTATTATCCTTTACTCAGCTAATCAAAGATATGTTGGTAGAACCAGTTCTAAAGCGTGGAGACGTTTAATCTCACATTCAAAAGATTTAAAAGTAAGCTTAATTTTTATTTGCAATTGTCCTATCAAAGTCGCAATAAAAGTTTTTAGACCAGAGATACCTGTTAGCGAACTTACTTTAGAAACGTTCGATAAAAATGTACTTCCTTTCATCAGACTGGCTCTTAAATACTATAGATCGAGCTTAACAAAATTCTCAATACTTTGTTCATTGCATCCTGATGAATTATTTGAAGAGGAGTTGATTAACGTTGTCCAATGTTGTCCTCGCTTGTCTTCACTGCGTGTTATCTGTCCCATCAGCGAAAACACGATTTCAAAAATTTCGTCACTAAGACCAGATTTAAAAGATTTAACGTTGTACACCTTTCAGTCTTTGTGGGAGGTGAAAGCCGAGTATTCATGGTAATGGTAGCCTATATCAACCTTGGACGCTGGTTGAATTTGTTTGTCATTGTGGTTACGATTGATTCGATTATTTTTTTTTATAAAATTTATAAACATCCGCACTTATGATTAATCGAAGAAAACTGTAACCTATCGAAGTTTACGTGTTGTTAATATTTATGAAATGATTATATGAACAAATCATTTGTATTAATATAGCATGGCGTTTATTAAAATCCGTATTTATTATTTTTAGATTTCATATCTCCAACTTGATAACCAGAATTAATGTCAATGTCCTCAGAATAAGAAAATATGTAAACCGTAACACTCGTAAACTGTTATATTTTTCGCTTTTCTACGGCCATTTTTATTATTGTAACTTAGTCTGGGGATGTGCTAATACAACAACGATGAACAAGTTATTTTCGAACCAAAAAAAGATTGTCAATTCTCTGTTTCGGAAGAATTATTATATATCGAATTTAAATGTTTTCAATGACAATAAAATTTTAACCATATTTGAAATTAACTCATACAAATCATGTCTATTTATTTATAAAATTGTTAATAATATCGTATTTACTTCTGACATTCATTTACAACAGACTTTCACATTTTCCAATAATTCTTTTTCAACTAGGCTTAATAATAAACTTTTAATAAATACGCTTTTAATTAAGAATAAGTTATTAGGTAGAAATTTTTGTTTTTACGGTCCTCGTCATTGGAATAAACTGCCATTCTTTATTAAATCTAATCTAAATTATAACTCTTTCAAAAAACAATTAAAAACATATTTTTTATGCTGCTCATAATATATATATATATATATATATATAATATATTAAATTTCATTCTTGATTCATTCATCCTTTATTTCTTATTATTTTTTTTTTTTTTATAATAATTTAGATTGAATTATTCATTATATGTTTTATCACAGATATAATGTATGCAACAAGGTTGTTTGTAGAATATCTGTGGTGTGTATATATCTATTATTTTTTTGTTTTTCCATTATGAGGCCACCCATAAATTAGTATTATATTGCTAGGGTTAACCTTTTTACTTTGGTAAATAAAATCAGTTAAAAAAAAAAAAAAAAAAAAATTGTTGAATTATATTTATGCAATCTTTGATCATTATTCATTTACATGTATGAGAATATTTTGCATATATTACTATGGACTTTTGACATTAATCAATTTGTATGTGCTAATAAAAGTTGATGTTTGGATCTATATTTCGTTTCATTATTATTTATGTTAAAATGTACACACCACACACACGCGCACACAAACACAAACATTTAATTAAAATGATAATATCTATCATATTGCGTCAGATTCTTGTTCACCAATTATGAATTCAAGTTTAAGAGCTTCCGAAACTCATAACTTTGTGTACGGTATGTCTGTATATACTTGTAACATTATTAGTTACAAGTATAGTACATATAAGTTGAAAGTTTAAAAGTTTTGAAAATTTATCTAAAGTTTTTGTTTTTTAAATACCCTAAATATTATCGGAGTCAGGGGCGAGCAAACTTTTTGCTGTGAGGGCCGCATTGAGAATTATTCAACCTTTGATGGGCCAAATATGTACTTAAATAGCAAATTTTTTTGACCCAGGAAAGAATTTATTTAATATTTGTGGCTTTTTTTGGTCATAATGTCTGGCTGACGACCTTTTTTTGACGGCGAACAAGGCCTTGCGGGCCGCATGAAATAGCTTCGTGGGTGGGCCGCATGCAGCCTGCGGGCCGTAGACTAGATCTTGGACCACTATCAGCTAATGTTACATTATGCCGTTATTGAGTTTGTAGATTTTTCTAATGACGGCCTAATCGTGTTAATGCATTGAATAATGTAGGCGCACAATCAATGGATGTCTTTTTTCATTTGCTTTTATTCAGGTAGAACGTTCTATTTATTGGACGTGGTTTTTAGGTAGCTAGCTGTCTAGGAAATACGTGAACTACATATTAATCTGTTTTTTTTGCATTTCTGAATTAAATTATTTTAATTTATTTTCGGCTCTCAAGTGCTTTGAAACCATTTTTTTTGCATTTCTGAATTAAATTATTTTAATTTATTTTCGGCTCTCAAGTGCTTTGAAACCATTTAATAACTTTAACACATGAAAACAGATTGTCAAAAATTATATTAAATTCAGTCGAGATGGCAATGTCACTGTTTTACATCATTTTTTCCATTTTTTGCAATCAACTTTTAATCAAATGAACAAAGATTACTTATGCTGGCATTAATGAGTCTTCAATTAGGTTTGCAATAACTTTCGTAGCATTACATTTTGCTTCAGTATAAGTGGGTGGCAAAAATTAATAAAAAAAAGATAATTAATGGATTAATGAAGAATTATAGAAATTATTAAAACTATATTAAATTATAAGAATTATTAAAAAGAATTATTACGGATCTATCAATAATAAATACATTTTATTAATGAATATTATTTAAGTAGTAAGTTTAATTAATTAATTAAAAGTAATTATAAAACGAATTCACGTCACTATCTCCATCCCGTCAACACAGGGAAGGTTCCAACTCGACGCCAGCACATCGATACAGTGACTTCAGATTCAAAACCTATGCACCTGTCGCGTTCAGATATTTTAGAGATCTCTTTGGCATACAACCGGAAGATTTTCTGGTATGTTTGTGTACCTGAGTGTGTGTGCGTGTGTGTGTGCGTGCGTGTGTGTGTGTGTGTGTGTTTGTGTAGATTTGAATTTTTGCATGCCTACGTTAGTTGGGTGCTGTGAGTTTTTGTGTGTTTGTTTATTTTTGTTTAAATGTGTTATTTCTTCATTTAGTTGCTTCTTTTATATATATATATGTGTGTGTGTGTGTGTGTGTGTGTGTGTGTGTGTGTGTGTGTGTGTGTGTGCGTGTAACATGTGCATATTTATGAGTTTATGTGTTTTTTTTTCTCATGTTTCTGTGTGTTTGTTTATTTGTGTGTAAGATAAGTGTAGAGTGAGATGAGTGATGTGTGTTTATATTGTTTTGGCGTTGATATAATTCTTCTGCTGTTTATGCTATTAAAATATTCACGAGATTTAGAAGCATCATGAAATTTAATTGTGGATGAAGTTTTTAAAAAATCATTAGTTTGTTTTGATAATTTCTTAAAAAATTTTCTATTGAATTAGAATAAATTTTTTTGGTAAATTTATTACTATCAATTAGCACGCTAATCTGGCTAAATAAATTAATCACACTCTATGTATTGTAACTGCTGGAATGGTCAATTGCGCTATATTATTGTTATCTTGCTATATTTGTTATCTTGGCAATCTGTCATCGATTGCAAACCATAGATTTTTTTCATACAATAGAGGATTGTAAAAATCTACTGTAGAGACTGTATGAGATGTTCAAATAGTGAATTAAGTAGCGAGGTTTTAAGTGTAGTCGTAAATATGTGATCTATGTAGTTACTTGGATTAGTTTAGTGTCTCTATTACTGTTGGCATTCAAATAAACGTTCAACAAAGTTTTCGTTAGAAGCAGTTGTGTTCATCTATCGGAAATCTTGAACCTACGGGATAACGATAACTTGACGATCGTTGAAAGCTACAACACTGGTGTTGGAAATATAGAGATCATTGAAGTTATTACATCGGTGTTGATAGTAACGAGCGTCAAGGGTTTACAACATTATGTGTGTGTGTCTTGTTCGTTACTTTTTCCTCTTAAATGTTTTTAAATCTTATGAGAAAATCCAATTGTTGCTTTGAAATCTCGGAGATTGAATCTTAAAATGTTTTTAAATCTTATGAGAAAATCCAATTGTTGCTTTGAAATCTCGGAGATTGAATCTTAATTTTCTATTGATTGTTTATATTGCTTGTAGAATTCAATGTTATGCATCTTCTTACTCAAGTGTCTGTTTTATGTTTTTACTTCATTTGTTTATCTTAGCCGGACTTGTGCTGGTTGTGTTGTAAGGTTTACTTAAATCAATGAGATCTTTGTTTACCTACTTTTTCATTGTTATCAATTACTGTGTAGTAATATTCTAACACGTGCAGTTTTTATTCTCAATTGATTTTATGACATTTTTTCATTATTTTACATCTATTGTTCAGTATATTTGTGTTTAAAAACGTTTTATATACCTATTTGGCCTTGTTCTACAGCTAATGTTTTTAATTCAGTCTTCTGAATACAAATTCAAACCGGTTGTAAGTACAGATGGCATAGATACTTTATCATTCTCGTTCTCTAACTATCTATCTTAGAGCTATCAGCAACAAACATTTGGCAGCCTTTTTTTTACTAAAACTGTTTGTTTTAAATATTCTGTTTATCTGCATTTATTTTTGGTACATTTTTTCGACGCTATAAAGATTTGGTAGATATAAATGAACGAATTTGAAATTTTGGAAATTTGGCCTAATAAAATTTGAACATTTGTTTTTTTGTAGTATAGTATGGAATGGTAGAGAGATGTACATCAAAAATTTTTTTTCCATTTGTTTTCACAATCAACTGTGTCTGTCTATGTCTATCCATAAAATGTTGAAAACAATAAAATAATTAGTTTTTATTCTCAAAAGCATACCTCCACACCTGATATAAAGTTATATATGGTGTTCAATAATTGATGAATGAATAGGAAGGCCTGGGATTTATTAGCTGCTTTGTACTTCACTCTACCTGTATCTTTCATCCATTGCTCATATTTCATGATTGTATTGATTTTTGTTATTATTTATATATTCGATGGAATTCATTTTTAACACTTTTACATTCAAGGTGTTTTTTATTTTATTTTTTCCACATTCTCTCTCAATCAACAACACAATTAACAGAGACTAAATTCATCGACGCATCACACGCATTGCAAAGTATAAAGCGGGAGATCTTTTTGCATTCAAACCCGGTGGTCACTGGTCACTGCAGCAGCTGAACTATACGCCTTAACCATTGCACCATCTGGCCATCCTTTCAGATTGCATTTTTGAATCGCTCTACTTATATATGAATGATAATTTTTTTTAGTTATCTCTATGCAACGAGCCCCTGAAGGAACTTTCCAACCCGGGAGCAAGTGGGAGCATCTTCTACCTGTCCAACGATGACGAATTCATCATAAAGACTGTCCAACGAAAGGAAGCTGATTTCCTTCAGAAACTTCTTCCTGGTTATTACATGGTACGTAGCTTGCATTAATTGTTTAATTTCTTTTTTTTCTTTTTCTTTTGTCTTGTTTCTTGTTTACTACATGGTTCGTTGTTTCTTGTTGTTTTGTTTTTCTCTTATTGTTTTTTTTTCTCAAAAGTATTCATCAAATGCAGAGATTGAAATTAAAATTTCATACTCCATCGTCCATTTTTTAATTACATACAACGTATGTGCATGCTTTACATTTGACATTCAAATTGATGTTCTTCTAATAAATTTTTCTATATTCTAGTTTATAGGATTGTAATTGATGTTACGAATGTAATATCTTACGGAAGAGGTTGAATATGAAATAATGTCCTCATGTGCTCTGTTTATAAACAACGTTTGCAATTTATTGCCTATAGGTTAATAATAATAATGGGGTTATTCATTTTATGCTCTAATTATAGAGAGTTTTTAAGTAGTTTCATCCTAAATATACACGTTATTTTGATTTAGCGAAGAGTTTTTCATGGTTAATATTGTCAATTTATTATTATTTTTTATTATAAGGGTAATTTATATACATTAATGTAGTTAATTACATAAAAATACATCATTACATCAGTTGAGATAATTTAAACAAGGAAGAAAATTTAATTACAATGGTTATGCATGTGAAATTAGCTTAGTAAAGATTGCGTATCCTGGAAGCAGCATTACATTAACTGATTAACAGCATTACATTAACATGACATTATTCAACAAATTTATTTAAAAAAAAAAATTTCAACACAAATTATACTTTTTGGAAAAATTTGCTGTTAAAAGAGTTACTAACAAACTCAGGTTGCTCTACGGCTCACGTTTGTATCAGTTTTTCCTCGGTGGTTGTAAGATTGTTTACTGAAACTATTTTTTATTTTTTTTTTAACTGGGTATATCTGTCATTAACTGGATAAACTCAGCAGTTATCTGTTTGTTTGTTTATTTATGTTTATACCTTTACTCATTAATTCATTCGTTCATTCATTCATTCATTCATTCATTCATTCAGTTATTCATCCATTCATATTCTTGTTTTAACTCATTCATTCGTTTATTCACCTATGCATTCATTCATTTTAATTATTTTTTTTCGTTAATTTATATATTACGTACGTTCTATTTAATTCGTCATTTTTCATCTATTCAAACGCAGAACCTCAACCAAAACCCTAGGACGCTGCTACCAAAGTTTTATGGATTGTACTGTTATCAGGTGAGATATATAATTTCACATTGCGTCTGCTAAGTTAATTAAAGCGTTTCTTTTTTTCTATGTTTAATTTTGTGTGTTTGTGTTTGTGTACATATACGTGTCTGTGTGTGTTTGTGTTTGTGTACGTGCATGTGTTTGTGTGTGCG